TTTTTCGTTGCGGCGATCCTTATCGACCGGCAGCGCACCGCGAGTGTGTGTAATATACTATCTCTCGCGGACTCTTCATGCGAGCGAGTGAGACTGTGTGAGAAACTGGGGGTGGCTCTCTGAAAAGTTTATACGGCCAAGTATGGCTAATAGAATATTTCAAGTACTGCATAGCGCGCGAGTAAGGGGAAAAAGAGGGAGAGCCGAACGGAGCCTCGGCAGATCGGATGTTAGTTTTTATCGGTCATCTCTCGGTCTCTGGTTAAGAGCGCTTGCTTGCCTCTCTCTCTCTCTCTCTCTTGGACGCGATCTTTTTCTCTCGCTCTCGAGCTCGTATGAGTTATGATAGCTGCTGGTCACTGCTGCACGTTCGGCGCTGCACACCTCGCACTGGATATCATATCGTCGATAGTAGCTCGCTGATAACATTTTTCCGATTGAGTTATGTCGTCGCGGCTATGCTAATTTTTCTACAGCTCGTACTCGGTGCGTTTCGTACGAGCTGCTGCATCCACAAGCACGAGCCAAGGAATGCCCGAGAGCAATCGTATTCTCGCTCGTAGCGATTGAAAAACGATCATCGCCGCGAGATTCGAAGCCTGCCAGACGAGTCGTATTGAAATTAAAACGTACTTATCGCTCGTCAATTATATAAACAGCTGCCTCGAGCGTGCTTTGCTCCGCATCAAAGTTGTTGTTCAAAGTCCTGACCGTCCAGGAGACAAAGTAGCAGACGTCGAGCATCGACTATATACAGCCGGCAAAAAAGGAAAAATAAGCCTCGGCGCGAGACGACGAGTCGCTCGCACCGTCGCAACGACGTAACGTTACTTTTTACGGATTTTGGCGTGAAATCTCGAGCGAGGCTGGCGCGCGCGAGCAGTGTCCGCGATATTTCCGTGAATGGCCTCATGGCGTATCGGATGTTTGCGGACGCTCTTAACTCCTTGAGCGAGGTAAGTAACACCGCGTCGAATTCCCCAGAAATAAAGCTGCTGGCGCGCATTGGTGAGTACACACGAGCTACTATACTCGCGCCAAGGCGTAAAACGTTCGAGCGAAAAACTTTCTTGCGCGGCTCTTTAAATGTTACCTGCGTGATTCACCGAGGCTCGTCGTCAAAACATTCATTCGCGTTTCCGGAGACGTATCAAAATGGCAAACGGATATTTATCGTAGATTTAGGCGTCGGGTAATGCGCGACAAAAAGTTTGCCAGTGCCAATCGTGCAAAAGCGTACAAATTACTCCAGCTCATTGTTATTACGAACTTATCGCGACGAGATGTCATTCGTAGCGAAAAACTTTATTTATGCATTTATCTTAATGAGCCCGGTGATAAGAAAATGTGGACATTTTCGAGTGTCGCACGGGGAAAATTGCTTCTCGGTATTTCGATGCTAGTCTATGTACCTGCGTGTGTCATCGTTTCTAGTTTCTAGTTAGCCATGTCGAAGAAATAACGCAATATAATATAAAGAGAGTCCAACTGCATCGCTGCTGTCGAATACAGAGTCGAATGAAAAGAAATACTCGCGTCAATTGCGGCTAGATAGTTGCTGTGCTGTACTCGGTAAAATCAGCATATGTATGTGCGCCATCGTAACCCGTTTAAATCTGGTTATAGTACAGTGTATAAGTAGCTGCTGATAATTGATTCTCGGTAAGCACCATCTAGCCTTGGCCACAGTCCGATCAGATTTCCGAAACATGTCCAAATGGAAAGTACTGCTAATAATGTTGAGTCTGAAAGTTGTTGCTTATTGTCTACCAGCCCAGGATAGAATGGTGAGTTCCAATAACGGGTCACTGTCTCTTCACGTCAATCTTTTATATTTTTCAAATTTGAAACGTCGAAATTCCATTCTATTTTGATGCAAACAAATTGATTTTAGCTCTCTCTAAAAAAAAAGAGATGAAAATGTTAGAAAAAAAGTAAAATAAGGCCAAAACTCGCTGTCTGTGTTGTTTGAATGACATTTTTATTTTGTCGTCACACAGGTACCAAACCATCAAACGGAGCTATCGGACAAGATCAATGCAATGGTCGAGGTCATGGAGATCGTAAGCTGGATAATGAAGCACTCACCGCGAACGGATGAAATGTAATATCAATTATATGTACGCGTACACGCGCGGTCAATAATATGTATACCGAGTCGACTAATGAAAATTATCGAAAAAAAAGAAGAAAATAAACCCATGCAAAAGTAGTACCTGTAGTACTAGCTATACAATACGTACATATATAAATGATTATAACACGAGCTGCGTAAACAGTGGCTCGAGCGCAATTTATATAAATACGCATGCGCGAAAGTCGTTTCGCGTTATCCATCATTGTCAAAGCCATGATAATTAATGAACGAGACGTCGTTGCTTCTGCTGCTGCCACTGCTGCTGCTATATCGTCATCGATATAATTACCATTGACAATGTCACATCATCGTTTGAGTAGTCCACTATAATATTTGTATTATAATATATGTAGAGTCGTCAGCAGCTATCAACGTTGTTGAATCCAGAGAAAGCCGGAGACTCGAACAATATGAAAACCATTAGCAAATCTTGGACAATCGGTCGAATAGAGCCTGCAGAGTTTATTGAATCGAGGCTCGGTGGCTGCACGACTCGACGTAGGCACACGAAATACATAGATCGCACGAGTCGCCGACTGTCTCGTGTATATCGCTTCAACGAAAGCGAGAGTTTTGCGAGCGCATAGACGATATGCTCGTCGATACAGCAAATCGTCGAGGGACGCAGACGCATACGTAGACGTATCTGGCCGAAAGTGCAGAGGGAGCTGGCAGAGGAGCGGCTGTACGTGCAGGACTAGGCAGGCTAGATAAGTACGCGTGTGCGTATATATGCAGATTGGCAAGTGGCGCGTCGAGTACACATATGGAGTAGTTAGCGGCGCTGGCCCTCGTGCAGTTGCATATTATGCATCGCGAGCATCGCTGCACTCGGCAGGTCGAAGCGAGCGCAGATCCCTCCCGAGAGATCATGGTCGTTCCGATGCACCGATCATAATATACGTCTGTAGCGAGGAGGCAGGGGCCTATACGCACCTTCCCTTCGATAGCCATATAAACTGCGTGCTAGGCGATGCGCACGACTTTTCTTCCTCCTCCGACTATTTTTCCTTTCGCTCGCCGATACTCCCACAAGATGCGCATCTCGAGGTATTTCATGGCCCTCAGCCCTACGCCCTTGGCTCTTTTTCTCTCATTTCCATGTGTACACGCTCTGCCCACGCGCCGCCGACGTGAAAAACTAATCGATTTTATCGCTCCTACGGCCCCGGCCTGCTGCAGCGAGTTATAATTAGTCCGACGAGCGTGTGCACACACGACGATAGCCCCGAGTAGCCGAGTACACGTTTACACGTATTGCACGTATGTACGCGTGGACATTTGCAAGTCCTGATCGACGCACGTACGTCCTTCGTATCGTGCCTATATAGACGATGATCAACGTTATAAGTCTATGCTCTGGCTACCGATCGCCATTCGTATAGGCTTTTGCTGCTCTGTCTCGTAGTACTCATAGGCTGCCGCTGCGTGATCTTTGTCACCCGGTCTCTCCTTTTCTGCACTGACAACTTGATAATTGATCGACCCGCGCCAGCAGCTTCTCTATGTATACGTGAAACTCGAGAGCAATCGCGTATGCCTTCTTTTCTTTTTACGCCTTTTATTTTTTAACTCAACGCACGATATATTGCGCGCGCAAACCCGACCATCCCGAGCTCCAACTACTTCGTTTTTTCCTCCGGCTTTTCAGCCGCTTGACGCAAACTGACATTCCAAAGCCTCGAACCAGCTAGCTAGCTCGAGCCGGTCAGCCAGCCGAGCCAGTCAACTCGAGCTCCGCCATAATCCCGCACGACGAATGACAAAATGATTGCCGAGAAAAAGATGTGATTTTTCAAAAATCACTATATAGCGATGAATAATGCCTTCATTAACGAATGCCGCATCGCGTCGCGCGCGAGACTCGAGAAATCCGCGCGTGATTTTTTACCTCTTATATTCTTCCTCTCTCTCTCTATATATACATCTCCTCTCTCATATACTTGGGATTAATATTTTTCAACGGCTCTGGATTAGTAGCTGATAAATCATTCGAGCGAAAGAAAAATCTTTCCTATTATGGATTTCAGCTTTACATATAACCTGGCGTCGATCTCATCGTCCCCATATGTGCCTGCGTGTGTTATATGTAAATATGATTTAAGATGAGATTTCCGATTTAGATAGATGTGTATTACTTTTATGAAATATAATACTACAAGGTCTAGTATGCTTATACGAAGCGAAATATACACCTACGGGTTAAAAATTGAGGCTTGTTGAGCAATTTCGGAAATCTACGAAGCATCTTTTTATTGAAAAAAAAGGCAAAAGAATTCAATCGAGCAAGCTCTTACGCGAGTGTCGCCAAGAGAGGATAGCTCGTAACGTAGATTAATGCCCTTGCCGATAAGCGCTCAAGTGCCTCTTTGCTCTTCACTGTTCCATACCTATCTGCTTGTAAGCAAATTTGGCAAATATCGGCGCGCCACGGGAGCCTCTTCTTCTGTATCCATAAAATACATGTATAATAATATTGTAGAGCGATGGCGGTCGAAAGAAAACACTCGACTGTCTGAGAGCAGACGGATCGGTATACACGCTATTCGCATTACGCGACGATTTGACGCAAGGCTAATGCGTTCCAGCTCGAGCGCGTTCTCCGATTCAAAATTTTTCAAGTTTTAATCATATCGAGAAGGCGCAACGCCGCCGAGATCCGAGGAAACTTTTGTCGACAGTCGAAAAACACGATATTTACATTTACGCGAGGCTGAATCGGTGGCAGCTGCGTAATATAGGGGCCCCCGTTTGGAATAATCCATCAAATCGTTGCGCTATTTGTCCGATAATAAAGCAAGGAAAAGAGCCAGGCGCATAACCTCAGCGGTCGAAGAGCTGCTTTGAGGCTCGCGCGTGCAGCATGCCGATCAACAGAAACACGTACGGGAAAACGCAAATAGTCGAGCACTTGCTGGCCAAGCAGATCAGCGGCGATTCGGCGACAGGTCCCAAGGTCGCCGTTCTCAATGCCTTTCGCACGGGGGTATCCGTCAGCGCCTGCCTGATATTTAAGGTTAGCCAAAGCGACGCTCGAGAGAGAGAGGGAGATGCAGAGGTAAAAAGAAATTATTCCATGCTCTCGGTACTGCACAGACTCGCCGGAAGAGAGTCGCGCGCGTAATAAATAAAAGGCCAGACGATAATCGGCAAGGCAAATCACACGGTAGTGCTCCTTCTCTTTTACAAACACGAGCTGTTGTGCGGCTGCAGAAGCGCCTGTGAGGCAACTCGCAACACACATTGAACGCGGCCACTCGTAGATAGACGCCTTTGATATCTCGACGGCTGCATCATCCTCCTCTACTGCGTCCCAACACACATGCATGCGCGTTAATAAAAAAACAACGACCCACGTGCTTATATTACGTTCGTATATAATACTTGTCCGCTCACAGGTACTTCACATCCATACCAATGTAGCCAAGTTGTGTGCGAGTTAAAAAAATAAAATAAAATGTTTGAAAAAGAGGCAAAAAATTAAGGAGGAGGTGATTTGGCCTTCTCTCTCTCTCTCTCTCTCTCTCTCTCTCTCTCAATGCGTCGGGCCCTTTCCTCGCGCGGACGTGTAATTATTCAGGAATGAGTTATATCACCGCCCCGACAAAGAGAGCCAGGGGCCCCATGACTTGCCACGAAAGCGACTCTCTCTTTGCGGACTCTCGCATATGTACGTCCGCAGATGTATATATAAGCGAGTTGCAATGAACAAATATGCATATATATGACTTTTGTCGAGCCTCGAGAATAGACGTCTGCCCTAATGATGCTGTTAAATCGGAATTTCTTCTCTTTATGCATCATCGCAGGGACTCGTCTCGGAGCTCGTCCTTTACGACGAGGATGCGGATCTCGTCGAAGCGGAAGTCGAAGATCTGTCTCACGCAGCTGTTTTCCACGGCAACCCACGCATAATTCCGACCAATGGTATGCACTATCATCTTAACTCTTTACTTGGTCTTTAAAACAATTCGTCGAATCGATTATGCGGTATTTAGTGCGACATTTTCTCTATCATCGTTTTCTGATTCTTTTTTTTAATTCGAAAGTATCGATAATCATAGAGTTACGCCAACACACGCAACGGTTCAAATTTTCTCGGGATGTCTATGGTCAGCCGCAGCCGGTTACATAAATCAATGGCATTTAAAGCTATCACCTGACCCTCGCATAATCAATTGGGTGTAATGAATTTTTAAGAAGCTCGTCTCGTTTCACTGTTGTCATGAAAAAATCAAATTCTATTCCAATTTAAAATCGATAATTGAAATTGATCGAAGGCGGCACCTGCTTATAGGGTTACATATGACTTTTAGTTTGTAAACGATAAGCGAGTACCAGTCGACTTCACGGACTTATCGCGCTAGCTTTTTTTCGGTCTTGTTTGTTTAGCTGCTCTACCGATACGCGTCGAGATGGTGATAGGATCGAGGATCAAAGTCGTAGACAGTGAAACGTAAGCTTAGATAAGGACGATCCCTAGGCTCGCCCTGGGCGTACATGAATTTCAGTCTCTCTCTCTCTCTCTTTCTCTCTTATACGTATATGCATATGAGCGTTTTACTATTCATCGACATTGTGTGCATTACGTTGCAGATCTATCCGACGTGAAGGACGCATTGGTGTGCGTATTGACGTGTCGCTGCTCCAACTCGGCTAAGGACGATGAGGTCCAATGTAAGGTGAATCGCGTCAAGCTACAAGTCTCGAAAATCAAACAATACGCGCCTAACTGTATCATCGTCATTGCCGATGAACCAGGTGTGTTTGCTTAGCGTCAAAAAGCCGATTCCATCGCATCTCTCTCTCTTTGTCTATAATCCGATATGTATATGAGCTACGCCGTACCGTGCTCGCCACCGCCTTCGGGAAAATCACTGCTGCTACTGCTACTCTCTCTCTCTCTCTCTCTCTCTCTGTATACACATGCGCGACATTATAGATATACGAAGGCGAACTCGATACGAGCGAGCTTGAGCGCACGTGTCTTTGAAGGCGAAATCCGAGATTAAAGCCTTTATACATACGCCCGGGCCCGTGTAGCACGCCAAAATCATTATCTCGTACGCCTTTTTCATGTTGAAACCGTCTTTCCCCTTTGCCTCTGCCGGTGTTGCTGCTGCTGCAGTCGATCTGCTGTCGTACGTAGCCTGGAAAACATCCGAGTTCGAGTCCAACAAGATCATCGGAGTCGGCACGATGCTCGATAACGTTCGGCTTCGGAGCTTGGTCGCCAATCGTCTGAAAAATCAGATCAGAGCCAGCGACGTTCAGTCTTTCGTCGTCGGCCAGGCGGGTTGTAATTCCGGTAAGTAACACGCCGGTTATATCAATTTATGAGAATCTAAGTGAATATAAGAACACGACTTTCGTGTCACTTTATTTGATTGAAAAATGTCACAAGCAGTTTTGACGCTCTTCCGACTTTTTAGCTCACTTTGTGTCCTTCCGTTCCATCTCGACACGGAGAGAAAATTGGGATTAACTCGAGCTGGCCCCCGTTTATAAACATCATGTACGTGTCCAAAGCGATTTTGGATAGAAACGAATAAGAAGAGAGAGAGAGAGAGAGAGAGAGAAAGAGAAAGGCTGGAGATAAGAGAGCAAAAAAGCTACATGAGCCGAGGAAGCTGCGCTGCGTTATCGCTGGAAATGCCAACTTGCCAGTCCTGGGAATTCAAGTTTTGGAAATGACGTTGTTACACTCTCGACTCTCTTTTCTCTCTCTCTCTCTTTTATGCGCGCACGACCGTCGGAATTGGCGCGAAATCAAAATTGATCAAAGTTTAAAGAGACTTTTTCTTTCTCTTTCTCACTCGAAAGAGAAAGAGTATATCGCCGTCGATGCGGCAAGGGGTGGTAGCGGTGTGGCAGTTGATGCATATATATAGACTGCGTGTGCACTCTCGACTTGGCCGATGTGCTGCCGCTTGCTGTTGTACTGCAAGCTCGCGAGGAATCAAAAAGTTCGATGAATCGTATTAAAAAGTTTTTCCTCTTCTCTCTCTCTCTCTTCGTGCGCACTTGAATTACTGTGCATGCACGATGTCGAGGACGAGGAGTAGGAGAAGGAGGCAAAAAGAGGAGGAGATTGGCGAAGGCCAAGGGAAAAAAGCGACGTGGAAAAGAATAAAAGACAAATTTGCCATTGTGAATGCTAAATTGATTGGCGAGCGAGTGACTCCGGCGGAATATTTCCTTTTATTATTATGGGCATTATTATTATTGTCCGTTATTACGGAGGAAGGTCGTCGCTGCTACTGCAGCATCGGCAGAGGAGTATCGATATATATAGAGGAGCAGGAGGTAAAGCTGCAGGAAGAATCACTATATAGGCGTAGGACGTTACAGTACACGGACGAAAGAGGAAAGAGACTCGGGCGCGAGACGGGGATGAAAAGGGATTATTGGTCGTTGACTTATGCAAATCTTGCGTCTGTCTGTGCGTGCGCGTATCGAGTCACTATAATGTAAATACAAGGCAAGGTCGTCGTTGCTCGAATGCTGTATATAGAGCGGGAGGAGAAACGCTCGAGTTCGGCGCGGGTCCGTAGGTGGCTATTCGCCCTCTCTCTCGTTCTCTTTCCATCTAGATATTCGTGGCACTGGTGGTTGTTAGCACGAAATTCGCCAAACTAATTCAATTTGAAAAGGCGAGCGCGCACGCAGCTGTTTCGCTTGCCCGGCCTACCCTATCTGTACACAGCTCTCTGCGCCAGCATCTCCTATCTACGCATAGACGCGCGCGCACAGAAGCACGTGAGCTGTATATGCATATCTGCTGCATGCGTATAAATTCAAATTTGCCGATTCCAACAGCCTCCCACGGTTTACTTGTTTGCCGTGAATACGAGCACGTATACAGTTCCTACCGTATTCAAATAATATATACGTACGTTATATGTATGCGTGCATTATGCGCGCGAGCTATGCGTGATTATTGCCCACAGTGCCTACCCAGTGCCTATTGCGCCCGGATTCCGAGACACACACACACACACACACACACATACAACACACAACTATACATATTGTGCGTGCGTGCATTTGTGGAGGGAAATTCGTGCATTAATTTGTCGGCCTTGGCTGTGTATCTCGTTTGCAGTGCCCGTATGGTCGAGCGCGTCGGTCATGAACACCAGGCTGAAGGACTTTAACGCGTTCATCGGCACGAGCCAAGACAGCGAGGCCTGGAACGAGCACTACGACAAGTACGTCCGAGACGCCAGCTCCGTCCTCACGGCCAAGCTGGGTTATCACGGCTGGGGCCTCGCCGCCTGCGCCTGCAAAATCGTCGACTGCGTCCTGCGCAATACTCAGTCGCCGCTGCCAGTATCGACCTTCATGCCGGTCAGTTGGATTTTCCATCTCCTTTTTTTTTATCATTTTCTATCGGTGTTGGCTGTACCAATACACTCGATATCGCCGCGAGCGACGCTTTGTGTTTTGCGCTATTCGAGTCGCGAGTCTCGATCATTTTTTCACCTAAATATGCCTTTTAAGCGGACATTTTTCGAGTTGGTTGGCACCCCCCTTTTTTAGCAACAATTTTGTAATTCGTTCGAGCCGTAGGCAAAAAAAAGTTCGGGCTCGAAAAAAGCTTCGGGTGGCTACGTTAACGTAGCAAGGAATCGCGACGCAAAGTCCGGCACTTGGCACTCGCATGCATAAGAGTTCATTAAAACGTAACGGAAGCACTTATCCACATTTGGGGCGAAAAAGAACGAGCGGGAAGAATGAATCAGCGTGAAAAGAGAATAGGGTATAAAGTAATACACAGTTCGAGGTAAGGAACCTAAAACCCCCCGCGTGAGCTTGAGCTGTCGCTGCCTCATTATCGAACAAGCGAAAGGCATGTTTTACACGTAAAGTTACACGTGTAGCGTGTGCGCATGAGCGCCTTTATAAATATACACATTGACACTTGGAGACGGCGGTACAGCAGCGCGCGCGAGCTTCGAGTGTAAAATAAAATTCATCGGCGGGTATACATGTGGAATGGATATAGGTTTTATACCTTTACGTTCGTATATACATGTAGCGCTGTGTTGCTGCACATTTCGCACGCACGTTCCTGCCTCTTTCTTTCTTTCTTTCTTTTCGTTTGCCTTCGTCGTCGTATTCTCGTATCCAGATATAATATATAAAATACACAGTCGCATGTAGAAAATAGACAGTGGCGGCGTTACGTACACGCCGTTGAACTTGCAACCACGCGAGAGCGAGCGAGCGAACGGACGAAGCTCTCGTGTTTCAAATCAATTTCAATAATTTCGTCCGAGCAGGTATACATGCTATAATGTGTACGTAGTGTTGCGTTGCACCAGCGGACTAACGGCTACCGTACTAAATATATACATCGTACATGCATGCATCGCAAAGTTCTCCAATATACACGAATAGATATATAGTCGCAGAGCATATAAGCTTGCGCTCACCCTTTGAAATAAGTCAAGCGTGCGCTGCTCGAGCTAGCCAAGGGTAAAGCCATCGTATATATGCACGCTCGCTATTTAGCCGTTATAGTGCTGCGCTCTACTGAGAAATCGGCCACGGCTGAAAGGAAGGAAAGTTCGGGTAAAGCGACACGCGACAGCCGCTTTTGCAGAAATTTCAACCGAACGCCAATAGCCAAACTAAAAGACATAAATAAAAAATAAATCATAATAAAACTGCTGCTCGAGCGAAAATTCAACACGTGTAACTGTTTATGTTTTGCAGGGCTGCAATCACGGTTTCTCGGATAAGAATGTGTTCGTATCGTTGCCCTGCATCATCGGTCGTACGGGCGTGCTGACCATCGTCAAGCAAAGGTACACCGTAGAGGAACAGACGAAGCTCGAGCAGGCCTGCAGCAAGATCCTCGCTAGCATAAAAAAGTTCGTGCCCGAGCTCATGAATTGAATCGTCCAATAATAGCGTGTGCTGTAGCAATTTTTCGTGCTGCGTTATCAGTCACTTTTGGCACGGCCAAAGAGACCAAGCTTTGTCGTCGAAAATCGGGCCGGACTCGTTGACCCTGTTGGACGCATAAAAGATACGTGAAAAGAAAAAAAAAGTCCATGACCACAAGTTGTCGTATACGTAGCTTCTTTATTTTTCTATTCGCGATCCGGGCTGGAGCCCGAGTGCGGCTGCTCGCAGCACGTGCTGCCACTCGACTTGTAGGCCATGCGTTTTCGGCCAGAGGGATATAGACTCGTCTCTCTCTCTTTAGGCCACTCTCTTTAGGTAGGTTTGGCTCCGCTGTACACACGATTCACGAGCGTGCGTGAGGGAGAGAGGAAGAAGTAAACGGAGAAGAAGAAGAAGAAGAAGAAGAAGTGGTCGAGTAGCCCAAGCGCTCAAAGTTTTCCAATCTTCGAGCCGGCTCGGCCGCCGCCACCACCGCCGTGTTGTACAACACCCTCGAGCTTGAAATTAAACTTGTGTCCCTCCCTATGTATACGCGAAGCGCGTCGCACAATGTCGACGCGCGTGCCGAGGCCGAGGCAGCAGCTAGAAAACTTCTTTCGTCGAGTGTGTCGCGAGATATAAATTTTCGCGCTTTTCGCATTAAAGACTTATTATTGTTGTTGGAAAGTTGCTCTTCTTTCGTTCTCTCTGTCTCTCTCTCTTTCTTGGAAGTTGCTGCAAGCACCGGAGAGCCGCCGACTCTCTTTCTTAACGTACATACATACTTGCTGCGCGCGCGTATACACCTTCAAAGGAGAAAAGCTGTTAAATGCTCGCCGCCAGTAAAGCAGCCGAGGGTGCGCTTCGCAAGCATCGGCGTCGTCGGAATAAGGAGGATCTACGGACGAGTTGCGCGGGCCCGCTTAAATCGTGTTATACATACGTGCGGCCGAGCGAGCTTTTGCAGCGGCGAGTCGGTGCCGCCAAACCTCGTACGCGCTTGCTCGCTCGTTCGGTCTTTGGGCTTCGGTCTTGAGCAAGGAAGACGCTCGCTTTTTATCTCGCTTAATTATAGCGCCACTGCAGCAATGACGAATGACTGTAAATACGCGGCTATGCTAAACGATAAATGATCGTGCTATTTGTTACGATGCGAGCAATGAAGCAGCTGCCTGCTAAACCTTCATTTTTTATACTTTTTACCTACTCGTTTACAAAATTGACCGCATCGGTGATTCATTCCTTCTCTGTACGTCTAATGTGTACGTATGTATATGTACGCGAAGAAGAAGAGAATGAAAAATAAAAAAGGAAAAAGGAAGCCGGCGCGCCTCGGCCATTGTGTGTAGGTATAGATATTACAGAGGAGCAGTTGGCCGCGCGAGCAGAGTGTGAAATTTATCGCTTTTCATAAATCGACGGGCTTGTTTAGACGAGCTTTTTGTGCAATAATCTGCCGGCTCTGGCCTCTGATATTTTTACGGTTGTTAGAGCTCCGTTTTACTCCTACTCCGTTTTCTTGTACATGTGCAAGCAAGTTATAACGGAAAAGTCTGTAATTATTGTCGACTATGCATCGTCTCTCAGTTCGATAAATTTTCCTTCGCTTCACTCTAGCTTCGTTATTTTACTATTCTCCTTGCATCGTCCAGCATTTGGCTCTCAAGAGTCGAGCTCGACTTTTCTTCTTTGTGCTTGTTTCACGTATAAGCGCGCAAAGAGCCAAGAGCCCTTCCGGATCGAGCCAAGAAAGAGAAAAAAAGATGAAGCGAAAAAGAGTAATCAACGGATGCTGCTCTCAAACGATAGATAATCTTGGGGGCTAACAAAAAAGTCCCACAAATATTAGCGCAGGTATATACCGAAAATGGGTTGGAAGCGTCGCACGATTAATACATTACACGACGCGGCAGAGAGGCGCGAGAACCAAAAAAATTTCTCTCTCACTCTCTCTCTCTCTCTCTCTTCCAAGGGTCTGACAATAATCTCTCTGAAACATAACAGCAGCAGCAGCAGCAGCAGCAGCAGCAGCAGTAGTAGTAGCGGCGGCAACATAGCTGTAGAGTTAAAAGGTACATATTGGGTTGATATTACCTGCTCGTGTGTCGCGCGTACTTTCTGCACTCTTGCGAGTTCTTGAATTTCCGCGCTGCCGCTACTCTCTGCCTCGTGTGCAACGTGCCTCTTTCTTTACGACTTTTATATATAGAGATATTCGTGTACTTGACGGACCAGCAGCGGCAACATCTCTCGTATATATAACATGCACCGAAACATGTATTTGGCGATACTAGTCTCTCTCTTTTCGCATTCCCGGGCACGTGTATTGTATACGTGCGGGTCTGTGTGCGTGTATGTGGAAACAGCAGTAGCTTTTGCCGATTTGTCAGGATTATACTTTGTGCGCTGCGACTTCTGGCTTGTGTTACTCCTTTGCTCACCCTCCCTCGTTTTTATATGTACAGCACAGTCGCATCCAGCAAGGATTATCGCTTTCTCCACGCAAGCCACAGTGTCGTGGCGCACGGATGCGTTCTCTCTTTCTCTCTAGTTGGCGAGAGTAAAGAAGTCAGAAGCGAAAAAAATGCACTTGCTGTATGGGCCGGCACAGCAGAAGCAACGGCGCGCGGAGGTGATACATAATGTACAAAAGCATACGCGAGAAGCGCTGCACATTATATGCATACTTCATTTAATCTTACGCTTGCAGCGTCGCCGGCGAATCGAGCAATCGGTGCGGGGGGCAGCTGCACGGATAATACGTCTTACTCGGCCTCTCTCTTTCTCTCTTTCTCTCCTTCGTTCGTGTACGGCAGTGCAACACGGCAGCAGCGAGCGCAGATCCTGATTAATGCATTTTTCGCGTACAGCCGATTATTTCCCATCAGCGACGCGGTGCAGCCCAAGCGACGGCAGAGAGAGTTAAGAGAGAGCTTCGATACAGAAAGAGAGACCGAATCCCCATATACGTATACGCGAATAGGCACACATACACACATGCCAAAGCGCCGTGCAAATAAGATATCTTTCAAAGTATGCTTTTAGTTATTCGCGCGCGAGGAGCGGCACTCCTCTTCCTGTGCGCGCCCGGCCAGATTTTTCGCGCTCGAAGAAGCTCTCGGTTCTCTATGGTATAGAGAGAGAGAGAGACCAAATTGCCGACGTACTCTGCTCTCGCTCGCATTTATCATTTTCACCGACTCACTTGCTAGCGTATTATGCGCCCGCTCACTTGCGCCTTTGACGCAACCTTCTCTAATTACTCATGGACCGTTTCTTCCTTTTTTACCCTCTTTTCGTGTTCCGTATGCGTACGCGGCGCATTTGGGATATTTCAAATCTTGGTATTACCCGGATGTTATCTTGTCTCTCTCTCTTTCTCTCCCGTCTCCACGGCCAAATCCGTACACGAATGTCGCGTAAGTATATAATTATAACCGAAAAATTGTTCTACTCGTCAATCTGTGCTCGCATTGTAGCATACATATAACAGTGTATATACATATAATATTTTCTGCAGCGCAACAAAGCGAAGCAGTTAAAAAATGCTACTGTTTAATAATAATAGGGCTGCTGTTACCACCGCCGCTGTATACTCTGGTCTGCTATTGATGTATTACATACACAGCGACTGGTCTTTTTTCTCATATGTGTACTCGCAACGCACTCGGGCATACAGTATACATACGAATTTCTATTATATTTTTTTCCCTTTCCGATCAAGTTATGAATGTTGAATATTATACGCATAAACCACATAATGGTCAGTGATTCCTTTTATGACGAGTGAGCACAGGTGGTGGCTCTATTCTCGTATGCAGCAGATCAAACACCAGCCAAAAGTACTCCTCGTGCGCTTTGCCCTTACTCATATATATCGTTTTTCTCGCATTATTATTTACGCTCCTTTAAAATAATACAATACAAAAGGCTACACAGCTTAATCGTTCGCGTTAAATTTTTCAAAGAAATCGTGCCACATATCGCGTATATAATTTTATACTATGCTGCAGACCGGCCGTGCAAACGATCAAGGGAGAAAGACAGAATAACCAACGAAAATGATTTTTTTTTCTTTCAGTTTCCTTGTCAGAAACTGACGTGAGTTTATTTATTTTATAGAGATGTAAACCACCAAAGATACACTATTACGTAACGACCAACACAATTTTAATCATTTCAATAATTAGCGTAATGCCTTTCAAGGTGAAAAAAATACCAGTTCCAAAATTCAATTGGGAAATAAAGAAAATTATTTTTCCAGAAATCGATCCAGCTTGTTCTTTAAATTGAAGTTTGTTTGCGCGTGCAGTAAATAAAGCAAAAAATTATTTACGCTCAAAAAACAGCATAAAATACTCGCGTGTTTATATAGGCAGATCATCTTAAGTTCTCTCTATTAAAAAGCTATCTTTCAATTAAAAGGCGAAATTCTTTTCGCTCGTTTGGTAGAGCGTCGGTCAGATACGATAAAGTCACTCTCCCAGGCGGCATATAATAATGTCCGAGTGCGTCTGCATTTATGATAGAGCAGTGCATGGCCAATCTTCCTTTATACCGGACTCTCTCTCTCTCTCTCTCTTTCCCTCTTCTCACTCCTTCTTCCATTCTTCATCCATACATCTAATAGCTTTCCGCTTATTCTAAAATATTATATTTTTCTTTAATGGTTAATAAGCGCTATGTATGTATAACACACTCATACATATAAGCGCGCAACTTGGCTGCCTCATAGAAAGAAGCTGCATTTCTATATTTACGCCGCACTCGTCGACTTTTTTCTTTCTCTCGGGTGCCAGCGTCTTTAGGATATTTTTCAACGGCATACGCGTCTACGTACGCATTTATATAGATACATACACAGAAGCGGCATGTGTCCGTTTGTACGTATGGAAGACATAGAGCGGCGTTAGAAGCCTTGGAATTTGAAAACTCCGCTCGGTATCGAAGTTTATGAGCGAGTGAGCCGAGCGTCTCATTTTCTCTTGACTATTATAGCCGAGGCGCACGACTGAAAAAGGAATGCAGAATTTAGACATTGCTCCTTTTTTCTCTCTTTCCTTCTATACATCTATCTTATTCTCGCCTCGCTTTAACGTATGTCTATATACGTCAGAATGATTTATACGCAGGAGCTCGTTTGTACTTTCATGAGAGGACTTGTTGGGTTTTCGTAGCACGCGAACTCCCGAATTCATATCAAGTGCGTGCAAAAATAATGATTACGCCACAATCGGCCAAGCTCGATATCGCCGTGTCTCGCATGCAAAGCTATTGCTCGCTGTAATTGCAAGAATGAGGGCCGTTTTATTTTGGTTGTTGGACGCGCGCGATAACGAAACGAAGACGTATTAGGAGGACTACAAGTATAAGAGAAGGAGAAGTAAAAATTGTAAACGCATCATAATATCGTATTGCTCGTGGGGCTCTCTTGCTTCCTTTGGGGGCTGAAACTCGAAAGAACTTCCTGCCGCGCTGGCTGCGAAACTTGCAACCTTACCGCAGCGAAGAGCTGCAAGAGGGAGAGAGAGGGAGAGAGGGAGAGAAGTTTTCGGCAATTCCGGCCAGCTGACTCAGGGCTCGAATCGCATAGATCCGTGCTGGCGTACGTATAGTAGGTAGCGGATCGCAGCCCCTTGCACTATCTACCGCACGTACGTCTTGCAGCCAGCGCAACATTTTGCCAGTCAGCATCGTTCATCCGTACGTATAGCCTGTAGGTATAAGTGTTCATCTACGGCACGGACACCGGCGCGTATGAATCTGGCCTACTGCTCGCGTTTACATCTGTATGGGTACATGCGTGCGTGTCTATGATCTGCGACGCCATATATGCACCCAGCGAACAGAAGAGTAATTTTTACCCTCCTGCAGAGTAAAGCCCGTCTATTTACCATCACGTTACAACAGCCGCATGCTTAAACAATAGCGTAACTGTCAGTGGACACGCTTGGACGTTCTTTACCCACTAGGACTACTAGGAGGGTAAAAATTACTCTTCTGTTTGCCCCGCGTGCTATCGCGATAAAACGGCCCCGCTCCCGTCGCGGCTGCTTCAAGGCTTAATTCGGCACCGAGTGAGAGTACCTGTCGGTGAGTTAACACTGCACATCGACGCATGGCCAATTCGTTATTTTCCCCAGGCAAATTTCGCGACTCCTTTCTTCCTTTCTTTCTCTTTTCATCCAAGTCCGAGCTGCTTTCCTCTTCTTTCCTTCTCAACGCATACATGCGTCTTGCTCTCACATCTGGCTAAAGGAGACTCGACACGAGAGACTGCAAAAAAGGGACGTTGCTAGACCTCGTGCGCTTTCGTGATTACAACTCTATCCTCGCTGCCATTGACTCGAGTCCCTTGGATGCGCACATTCCCCTCTCTTATTTTCCTTCAACTGTATCATACAAGTCGTCCGTCCGCGAGTTTGTGCATGCTCATAAACGCGTATAGGTGCATAAAAAAGGTGGAGAGGATATTTCTCTACCTTTCGGCTCTCATCAATATTAATCTACTCGAGAAACCCTCTCTGAAAATGCTGCATATTCGACGGCGTGCATGCGGGCTCCGGGAACCGTTAAGGAAAAAAAAGCAGCCGCTGCTCATCGATGATACCTTCGGCAACAACGAGCCTTATTATATTATACACACAAACAGACGCAGGTAGGTATAGCGAAGGTGCATATTAAGAGGACTGGAGCAGTAGCGACGCTGCCACCGAGTAGCATGCAGAATCGCAACCAGAGAAACAGAGAAGAAACGGAAAAAAGAGCTGCAGCGATCGAGTCCCAGTTTTTTGACTGTGTGCACCGCATGCCGCATCGGCAACCAGTCTCGCCTCGACTAAACTCAAGAACCAAGCCATGAGCTATACGGTAAAGGTATTTAATTGCATTATCCTCTCAGCGGCGGCAGATTTATTTTTCTTGCCCCTTCTTTTGCTCTTGTTGCCCTTGCCGTTGTTGTTCTTCTTGTTATTATTGCTTCTTCTTCTTCTTCTTCTTCTTCTCCTTCTTCTTCTTTTTTCTTTCGTTTTATGGTAAGCGGCTGCAACGAAGAAGAAAAAGATTCTGCTACGTACGAGGAATACAGAGCAACGAACGATTTTCCAAGGCGCGATGCTTGCATCGGAAATCTCATTCTATAATATATAACCTGTTTTGATACATAAACAACAGGCGTCCGAGCTCGCTCAAGTTTTGCGAGCTCTGCACGCGCTTTAGCTTTTATAGCGCATACACTCGCCGCCATCGTCTCCCTCTGGCCTCTCTCTCTCTCTCTCTCTCTCTCTCTCTCTCTCTTTCATTCGGCGCTCCGTGCGCACGTTTGTCGCACTTGTCCATCGTAAAATCATTAATCTGATTTACGACAAAGTAATGGAGAGAGGGGCACAGGCGGACCCGAAAGCTCGCTAAAATATCCAATAAGACCAAAAATAAAACCTCGCGGCACGTATATATATGTATAAACTCGGTAATTAAGAGCTGCGACGCGGCAGAGAGGCCCACTTATGTGTAACGTGTAATCCGTCAGAAAAGTGCAGTAATCTGTAATCATTAGCCGGGATGATCTCTCAATAGCTGCACGAGATTTACGGTCATTTCGATTCGTATACGATGACAAAAAAAGAAGCAAAAACGATCGCTGAAGTTGAAAATGAAGAGGAAAAAAATAAAATAGCCGGCCCCGCCGATCTCGATATAATACTCATTTCAGTTTGAAAGCCATAAGCTATCAGTAAAAAATGCAATAAAATGAAAAAATGTCGTCCCGAGTGCTACTGGCACACGAGAATACGTGTATAGTGCCAAATCGATTAGGGCCCCGAAATCCGTGAGCTCAAAGTCCATCACACTTCATCCATGCGAGAATGGGGTAAAATAAAATCTATAACCAATATCGCCCTCATTCTCCTGCATCGAAGCACGCACATACAACGCGTATAGGTCGATCTGCTTTATATATATAAAGCATGTATGTGTGTGTGTGGGTGTGGATATGTGGGTGTAACGTACGAGGATGCAGTCGAAAAGAGAAAGAGAGAAAAAGAGAGAGAAGTAGAGAGGAAGGAAGGAAGGAAGGAAGGAAAAAAACAAAAATCCCCCAATTTTCCGCCAAGGATTTCTGAGCGGCGTAAGCGCGCGCGGGAACGCTTGCCTCTAGTAAATCCAATGCCAATCAATTTTATCGCTCTGCCGTTCATCCCTCTCTCGAGAGGCATCGCGCTGCACACAGCTTTGTAGCTTATATTATACGTATACTTATATACCTATACCAATACTCGCGCACACCGAGCTGTGCAGTGTCTGCTCGTCCTCACCGCGAGGTGTGCGATATATCGCTGCTTGTGATGAAAAAATTGAACTAAAAAGAAGCCTTTCGATCGCTCGGCAAACCTGCAGCATTTGCATGCTGATACATTGGATCGAGTACTATAGCGCGTGTGCTGCTGCTGTTTCTCCTGCTGCTCTGGAAATAAAATAAGAGAATTTTACGTGGATTCCGCGGTTGATGTGGCAGGACGATAGCGTTGATTGTAATTAATAGCTCTTGCTTTCTGCCAGCTCGTCGGCTTCGTCGCTGCACCCATACGTACGTACGCGCGCGTGGGCTTGCGATATTGACCGCGGCTGTGATCTTGCGCGTATACACGCATAAATGTACGGACTGGTTAATTGTCGCCCGTTCGTTTGTTTGTCCGTTCGCTCGAAAGAGTCTTTTTCTACAAGGGATGTTGCGCGAGATATGAGCTCGTTTTTGCTGAAGAATAAAAAAAACCTGCAGCCAAGACTTACTGTTCGAGCTCACGCGATCAACTTGCGCACAATCTCGATTGTTCTCACTGACATTAATGTGGAACTGGCTAAGGTTTTACGATTACTTTTCAAGATTTTAAGCTCTTCTTCTCAATGAAATGACTTCGTATTCAATGCGATTTACTTGTGCCAGTTCAAAGTGGCGACTCGTAGCGTTGGTAAACGACAATTTCCTATATGATACACGGTGCAGGACGGGCTGCGCTGCCGGCAGCTGATAGTCACCACCACAAGGCAGAAAACTACGCTACTAATTACCGACGGCTCTAATGCAGATACAGAGATAATCAATTACCCTAACAATTTCTTCTGATATTCCCATATATTCAATCCATTTTCAATTCAAATTTTTTCTAATTTCCCTGAAGCTTACTAGAATAAAAATATTATTTCTAATTTTTATCAGGAAAAATTATATTTATGAATCAATTTAAAATAGTTTGATATACTCATTATGGAAATTACCGAATCCAGTTTTTTTTAAATATTTTGTTTCTTTTGACAATAAGGTGAAATTTTATCAAGGTAAATAACAAATGCAAATATTGTGAAATTTGTTTTTATAGAACAGATTTATTACTAAATAAAAATATCAATAAAAATATTTAAAAAAATTATTTTTTCTAATAAAATGTAATAGTATCTATCAAATTTAATAGTTGTTCCTTTCATCATTATTACGATTACGTTCACGTCTTTGACGACCTCCCCAATCTTGCCTATTGAAGTTATTAAGCTCGCGGAAGTTTCCTTGATTTCGGAAGTTTCCTGTAAAATAAAAATGTTTTGATGAATTAAGAAGAAAATATTCAATTTTTATAAAATGTATGTAAAATGTATCTGCTGACCTTGTTTCATCTCAAAAATGCGTTCGTTTGAATCGACAAAGTTGTTGACTTTGTCTGTGAGCTGCAAAGCCAAAAATTGTAAACGACTTGGTTTACTGCGGTGTATCACGATAGCCTCGGAAGGTTCATCCAGCGACGCCATCAGCTCTTGGTTGATAATCATTTTACTTATGAATGAATGAACAGTTGCCTTTTCTAACTCGAACATAAGGGCTAAAGTTGGCATCGATATGGAATCATAAAAATGAGAATAAGTAAAAAGGTATGTTCTCAGAGCCTTCTCTTTAATGAGCTTGGTCAGCATTGCTCTAACTTTATCGGCCTGATAAAATAGATCCCAAACCTGAAAATTAAGACCATTTAAATAAAACCATTCAGGTAAAGAAGTAACGAATAATTATTGGATATAATTGAGACTAACTTTTCCATTCATTTTTTCATTGATAATAAAATTATTGCAAGCAGCCCAGTTTCCATTACGTATAGCTTTTGAAGCAGCCACAACATGTTCTCTCATGGATTCTGGAGGTCCGACTAGCGACTGACTTTCGCTCAATCTTAGTTTCTGGTAATAGGTCTTGGAAATCATTCTGCTCCTAGCATCAAACTCATGAGCTGAAAAGGAAATGCAATAGCTCAAGAAAAGATTTCTCAAACTTATATTTTTGGCTATTTAAATACTTACCAGCCATATACGGAATTTCAATGAGCATAGCCGAAACCAGATACACACACTCGAGTACTTCCAAATTTATGTGCATGTGGAAGGGCATTTGACGTTGTTTCTCAATTTTTTTTTGCTCTTTGCTGCGCTCATGTTGTCTTTGAGGCATCAAACCTTGAGCCAAGAGTTCCTTTACTTTGCCAGTCGTCATTAAATCAAGAAGGCAATGGTGAGCATCTTTAATGTTTGCATGACGAAACGCGCAGAGCCCGAGATGAGCAATGGCTCGATTGTACAAAATTTGTGTGGCTGGATCAGAATGATGAATGTTTTCTTGCAAATGTGACATGAGGAATAAGTCACGGGCTTTAAACCAATTATCATGAATGGAGTGGTGATGAATATGAGACAAAATAGCCCTAGTTCTGAGGCGATCAGTTTCATCGTGGCTGTAAATGTATTTACACATTTTATCCATGACTTTTACCGAGGTGAGAGCATCAGCCGGAATTTCACCCTGAAATGAAAATAGTACTACATAATTTAAATCCTTTCAATCGAAAATTATAATTTTAATATAACAATTACTTACATCTTTTTGTTTCAAAACAATTGGATCAAATTTGTAGTATAAATGCTCTATTTTACGAATATAAATACGGCAAAGTTCTGATGGAGTTCCTTGTCTCTCCAGGTACTCTTCCACTTTGTCAATAATAGTGCAAACTTGATTTTCGTCCTTTAGTCTAAAATATTTGAATTGTTAGAAAAGAAAAACTACCCTATTATAGATAGTTAAAATTTTACCTTTCAACATATTCATTGCTGTGGGGGTCGCATTCTTTGAGAAGTTTGATAAATTCTTCATCTAATCTTTCTGCTAAAGTGAGTACACAGCCATGCAGTTTAAAAGGAGATTTTTCATACTCTTCTTCATCTTCAGGGATAGATTTAGTTAAAATAATATCATTGGTACTCAAGAGTAAAGTCAACATTTCGGAAATGCGCTCCAAAATTCTGTAATTGGTAAATTTGGAATTTTAATATTAAGAATAGTTTAAGAAACTTTGCAGCTAAAAAGTATAAGACTTACTTTGACCAGTATTCTATTTTCATAGCATCAGATACCTTTGGGTTATAATCTAAGATAGACGAGACAATGCAGAACTTAACTTTAACCAGTGCAGTAGTAAGATTATGATTTTCAGCAATTGCTTGCAACTCATGTAACAGCTCTATCTGTTCTCTTCTATCAGTCCTTTTTTTGCCTCGAGCAGCAATGATTTCATTCAGCTTCTTTAAAACAGCAGCTGTGTTAATTTCTGCATCCTTGGCAAACATTTTAGGTTTTTCTAATGGAATGGCAACTCCTCCTTTAACAGTTTCCCATTCTCCTTCACCATCATCCTCTTCTCTTTTCTTTTTTTTATTTTTTTCTTTGCGATCTTTACGAAGATCTTTTTTAACTTGCTTTTGCTCATCATCTCCTCCACCTTTCTGCATTTTTCTAAAATAATCTGCAGCATGAGGTTTATCATCATCAGAGTTACTAGAGCTCTCATCGTCAGAGCTACTACCCCAGTCTGAATCGCTGCCACTACCATCATCTGCTCCTTTCTATAAAAATTATAAACATTGAATAATAATATTTGATATGGTTTTATACTTTTCAAATAAAAAGTGGCAACTATTTTTATACTTTAAACTTGGCAACATCAGGAATTGGTTCTTGTTTTTTAAAATCATTTACTTGGTCATTATCTTCATCATCAGAATCAGCTTCTTCAACTATATAAGAATTACAATAATCATCTTTTACAATTTACAAATGAAAAACAAAAATTGAAATATACCTCTTTCTTCTTCATCGTCATCATCATCTTTAGGTGGATTTACCCTGAAAGCTTCTATTTCTTTTTCAAAATCTTTTTCTTTGATATACTTTTTAAGCTTTTGCCACAAGGTTGATAACGCTTTAGAGTTACTTTTTGACATGCTTTTGCGTCCATCTGTATCTTTCCAAACTTCTTTGATAAAATCATCCAGCTCAACTAAAGCACGGAAGTAAAAAGTGGGAGTTTTCCCATTTTCCATGCTAGATATAACAGGCCCAGCTTTACTATAAGCTTTCGTCATTTCTTCAAAAGCTTGGAAAAGGAAAAATTTTTAATATATTTTATCATAAAAAAAAATTTTAATGAATTAAATTTATGTTTAACTTACTATTAAGCATGGGATTAATATCTTTGATTTTTTTTTGGTTTCCTATAAGTTTAATGGCATTTTTTATCTCCCCATATCTCTTTTCTTTAGCTGATCTAACTACACGTTTGGTGTCTTCTTCATCATCACTGTACTGCCCAGTGGAATAAAAGATGTTAATAAATGTTGAAAACTATTGTGTTATTAATAACTAAAACTCATACTAACTGTGAAAGCTGCTGCTGGTGCTCGCTGAATCTGCTCTTCCTCAGAGGAAGTTTCTGATTCAGAGTCAGAACCAGTAGCAAAAAACCGACTCATGTTGACTTATACCTAAAAATAAATATGATTACCATAAATATTGTTGAAAATTATTTATCTATCATTTTCCATTAATCAAAAAATAGTATCAAAATATATTTAAATTAAATACTTGATTTATTTCCATATAGACTAATGTTAAAGGTATTTTTTAATTTACTAGCATATTTTTTACAAATAAAAAATTTGTAATTTTAGATTCCACCTTGTTTATGTGTATAATGTAACAGAAATTGTGACACGTACTATAAGTCAAATTAGTCTTCAATTTAAGTTAAGTAAATCTTTATTGCTTTCAAAGAATCCTTCCTTGATGTTCCACTTCATTTCTTTATCAAAATCGCATCAAAGTATTTACTCACTTAGTGAATTGTATTCGTTTTTTTCAAATTTTCATAGGCGACACCTTTCGTAATTGAGGTTACACGGCAAAGCCGGATAAATTTTTAAATCATAATAATATAATAATATAATATAAAACGTCACCGGTCACGGACACAGATAGGCAGACAGCTGACAGAATAAAATTCAGTCTACGTTGATGGCGCGAAGAATTTAAATTAATTACTGTTGTTACATGTTAATAAAATAATCCCATAGTTATAAATAAAGTCACATTTATAAATAAAGTTGATTACGTATCAAATCTTTTTTTTTTTTCGATATCAATTTTAACACGTTCCGTGACATTAGATCTGACACGCGGGGAAAATATGAAGCGACGTGTAGGGCGTGCTCGTGTGTATTATGTATAAGATAAGTATACGTCAATGATATGATGACAATAGTAAACGGATTGGCATAGGCCGCATAGGTAGAACTATGACTTCTCTAAATGTATTTTCCACGTGTCAGATATAATCTGCACACAAACAAGTGTTGGTACAACATAAATAACATTATTATTACGGTAATGCACGATATGCCAAATATTACAATTGTCTCTCCAAAAAAACGAGTTATAATATCTGTTAAAAATTTTCGTTTTGAATCAATGTAATTAAATAATGAACGTTTGAACATTTTTTACTAAAACGATATTTATTCTCAGTTTGTAAAAATACCACGGAAATTTGATACAAATACTGAAATTGAAAAATACTAAAAATGACAAATAATCAGTCAAAACTGCAAAGCAATCTCAAAATATTCTTATTTTTAAATAAAACAGTAAATGGATTTTTATCCATTGGTTTTCTAACCAATATAAATTCTTAACAATTTAAATAAAACAATAAATGGAAGCTTTGATTCAATATTGTAGTTGCCGTATTAAACGTATTCTTCTGAAAATCTCAGACCTTTTAAGAATGTATATTGATCACAAATTTTGCATTTAATGTATGGACATTTACAAGTAGAAATTTGTCCAACCCAATCCGAGTATTTACACATTTAGCTACAGTTAATTTGGCAAGTGAACATCACAAATTGTCAATTTAAAAATCAACAATTACGGAGTTACAGTTTCAAGTCAACGATCTCGCGTAAATATAAATATATGCTCTCTATTATTGTGGGTCAGGCAGTCACAGATACGGCATTCACTAGTCCTTTATATTTTAACGTCTGATGACTGAAATCGATTCTCGTTCGTGTTGTATCTCGCAATGATCGCACTCGCTACCTCAATCGGTAATAAAAATATATTAGCATGTACATTGAAAGTATAATAGGTACGTATATTTTTATCACGGCATGTGAAACACAAGTTTAACCATGAACCAGAACATTTTTTTACAACTACATTTTAGAAGAGATTTACATTAACATTTATCCAGCATGTCAAGATTTAAATACATTTTTATGAACGTTCATTCATTTTTATGCTTACTATATTAGATCTCTAGTTGGCACAAACCTCGTCACAGTATAATAATAATTACAAAATATTTCTTCCGTAACAAGTAAACTGAGTACTCGAAGAAAAATGTTGCGTTCAACGCTAACACGTCTGCGATTTGCGGAACAGTGCGACAACTGTGCGTGATAATAGTGAGCTGGACAGTGGTTTTGAGCTAACAGCCGCAATCGCCGCAATCGTCGCCAGCATCACCGGTGCAGCTGTCGCCGAAGCAGTAATCGCCGTCGTTGGCTCCGCCGCAGCAGTCGCCCCCGCAGCAGTCGTCGTCGCCGTCGTGATTCGTAAGGTCGTAACTGCTTGCGCCGAGCGCTAAAGACGCCGAGGAGAAAGTCGGCTGAGTCGTTATCACTCCGTCGTCCGAAGTAAAAACGTCGGCCAGGAGGCTGACGCTCGTGGGATCGCCGATCGCTGCTGTGGGATCGAGGCTGTCGGTGCCGCCGTTCACGAAGGGATCGCTAGATATGCCGACGGACTCGGAGGTCAGTGCGATCGGCATCGGGCTATCCGTAGACGGAAGAATGCTCGTTGCTGGATTACTGCCCTCTGGGATGTGGGTGTACGGACTCGCATCTGCAGTTCCAGCGGCGGCAATAGTACCATTTTCCGACACGTTGTATAAAGTTTGTCCTTCGTTCGTCGTAATTGGGACTAATGGAGTGTGCGGGAGAACCGATGTCGTAGGCAATACCGTTGTAGCAGTATCCTGGAACGATAAACGTGCGAAATTTAAAAAAACGCGAATATAGATGTTTCACATCAAAAATCATTTAAAACAAATCCATTATTCAGTCGTGTTTGTAAGGTGTATTATGCTTTTCTTGATATATCGAAATGAAAAAATACACACCACTATAGCAGCATCGCCGGAACTACCAAAAACGCTGTGCATCGGCTCAAAATATTGCCAACTGGAAGAATGATTGGACGACGTCAGACTCGATGATACTCCGTCGACTATGCTCTTGTAAATGTCATATTGAAACTTCCAAAAACTCATGAGGTCGATGATGGAAAAGACGTAGCCGTGGGTCAATAGATCGTTGAGAATGAGGGTCCATAACAGTTCTTCGTCCCAGCGGGTGCGCGCGGCGCTGAACCTGTCATTCATTTGCAAACGATTGACAATGAGGATTCGCGTGGCATTCTCGTCCCAGTTCCGAAATCTTTCGTCATAGGGGGCTGAAAAAATAAGATCCCCTTTAGACCGCCGTTTTATGGGCAACTATCGATCGAAAAATGTATATAGTGTTAACCTGTGGGCATCGGGTAGGGCACATTGTTGACGGGCGGCTGACTCGTTGTCGTGTGCTGCGAGCGATTAGCGTCAATGCTATTGTCCGTAGGTGCCGACGGCTTCGGCGTCGTATCATTATGATTTCTCGACGCAGCAACATTTTGCATGGCTTCATCGTAGGCCGGGGGTGGATCTTCTGATAAGGCACCTTTGCCACTCGACTCGCGCGCTCGATCTTCGGCGACCTTTTTAGATTCCAATGAATCTAAGAAATATGGGGCAAAATACATTCGATTTCTTGATTCAATGTTTCGATTGAAAAATGAATGAATTTTAAACAGCAGCTCGTGTATTCCTCTATTTTCATTTAGGGTAAAATAGTTAGATTTCAGATACTTGTCGTGTACTGGGCTGAAATGTTGTAATTAATTCTCAACGCATAACAGCTACTTTCTGAGATCGAAAATTGAAAAAGTAAATGTTAATGAAGTAATTGTTAATGAATTTACGTTAAACTTTTGCATTTCACAAAGTATCCGATAACCAGAGCTCGGAATTTTAATTTTTGTCTAACTAAACATTATATTCCGTGAAACTTCATTTTTATGTAAACTTTAATTTCTGATATTTCAATAAATATTCAATTTTAAACATTATTTATCATAATACTTACAATAAATACTATTTTGTGATTTTTCAAATGAATTTATTAAAAGCATGTTATCAAAGCACATTTAACTCGTATAGTGCAAAAACTAGCTGGTATCAGTAATCTAAAGCTTATGCCTTGATAAAGTTTATCAATAAAGCTTCAAGAAAGGTTCAAATTTAGAATAACTTATATTTTCGTGAGTAAATAAAAAAATGTTGAATCAATTTAAAACTTGAATTTAAATCATAAAAATTGTGTAAAATACCAAATTTAATACCTTTCATACCTTTTTTATCCGTTTGCATTTTGCCAATTATTTTTGATCACAACAATGCTCAATGATTCGCTGTTCAACTTTTAGTTTGTCTACCTCACGAGTAGACATAATCTCTTGTACTGCAAAACGTAATAGGAATGCTGACCGAATTGTAAATAATTTGGCACACACGACAGCATAATCCCGTTATCGAGAGTCTGGAACATGCGATGAACCATGATTTTTAAATCAAGCCATTTTTTCGAGTTTAAGTGATGAGTCACACTATGATCGATAATGGCAAATAAGCGACGATAAGCCGGCACTATTAAACGAACAGCCCAGTGTTGGGAGCTCATGGCGCGAGAGAATAAGTTCGCCTATCATAATTATCCGACGCAATTGTGCCTGGCAAAGGACCTAACTATAGGAACTCGATGACAATAGCCTGACTGATTATCGCAAAGCGACACAAAAGCTGCGAGTCGCACGAGTTAAGGCATAAGAGTCAAGAAATTGCACGCTATGCGCAGCACATGCGACTTTTCGCGAGCAGACGCTTCAAGACACTGAGAGACACTGATGCGTTGGCACCTCATGCTTACTCGGCTCTGCTGGGTGGTACTATTCATCGTCCCCGCCACGATGAAAAAAAGCCTTTGGTAAGTGATTAACTCGTTCACTTGCTTCGGCTGAGTATACAAAAAATCGTCGCTGATTTTTATTGTAATCCTAAACCATGTAAAAGCCCATATCAAAGGATAAAGATCGAAGAATATATTATATACTAGTTGAGTCTGTCGATTTCAACCGGTTTGCAGCTTACGGACTATATTGACATTTTTTCAGCATTTTTATAGTAAGATAGAAAACTATTAGCGCCTATCACGCGCAAGTAATTATTACTTATAGTATGATAATTAATATGTTATGTTTTATTATAAAAATATATTGTTGATTCAATGCCCTTACAGGAAGTTAACTTTAAGAAGGATAAATTCGATTTATAAATCGCAATACCTCCTTTACTTTTGGAAATTTTGCTGATTAGTTGAAAAGCGCTTGAAAACGGACAAGAGCATCTCTTTTTATATTGATCGACGCGGAGAGTTGTACAGACACCTACACCCACACTCCAACATGTGTACTACTGCACTGGTTCTGCCGCTGTAAAAATGATGAGAAGCAGATATTTCGTCTTAGCGCGCCGAGCACTGCACTCGAGAACATAGGCGGGCTGCATCAGTATCGATCGACTGCAACAGCAGTTTTGGTGCATGTCTTTTTTCTTTTTTTGCTTTTTCTCGTCGCGGCCTTTTCGTCAAGAGCGTAATTATCATCAGCTCGTTTTTCGGTGCGTCAAGCAATACCGAACGATCAATGAACCGCGCCCTACCAGGACTGTCCCATCGATCCATAGCGATATTTGACTCGGAAAAACCCTCGACGAAACAATGGTTATTATTATAGAATTCATTATATTCTCCATTATAGTCTCCATTGATTTTAAGACAGTTTTCATTTTTTGTGTCAATATTTGATACCGATATTCAACACTGTATTTTACAAAAGAATCAGCATAATCTTTACGAGCCTTGTTCCAATGTTTCTCATCGGATCATTTATTGCCACAAATATAGTTGATAATTTTTACAAAGTTTACCAGTTTTCATAGCTGAAACGCACGCTCGGCTCGAAAAGTACTTAACCTCGATAAATACAGGTGTACGTGTAGCTAGGCCTCTAGCAGCTTCGCTCCCTTTTTTCTTTCGTCTCTACTCTCTCGATTACTATCGATGCGCGCGCGTCCCCGCGTTTGAGAGGTTCGTTAGAAATTTTGCGACATCAGCACTCAGCAGCAGAACTTGACAGTTGACGAAAGTTTTGAGATTGTCAATTCTATTACTGTCACTGTCTAACCCATCGTTACAAATCCCAATAGCATAAGTCGCTAAACCCTTCTTCCCGTTATCGAAAAGGTCATTTTCGTAAATGGGTCAAAATGAAGTCCCAACGCCGTGCGCAAAGAGCCGGAACAGCCCGATTAATAAACATAAACCAAGATAGGTTTTTGATAAATTTTTAGCTCAATTTTCTATTGGTAGGGTCAAAAATGGTAAAATAAATCTCCATAAAATGAAAAAATAAAGGTAAAACATGCTGTAACTTTTAGAATTCAACTCCAATTGATTTTTGGATTAGCTCGGACGAAAAGTCTTGCAATTTTACTTCAATAATTATCATAATGAAGGGATTTTTTTGATTTCCTCTAACTGTGAAAAAGGTAAGAGCGCGGGGTCGGCCGTTTTCGAGCGTCACGGCGGAGCACTCGGAGGATCGCAAATCTGCTCCCTTCGTTAATACTTCGTTAATACTAACTCATCCACAAAATTAAATAAATACACGATTTTGATGTATTTTTTCTCAGCATTTTAATTGTATCATTAATTTTTGGAAAAACTATTTTTTGCACTTTCTTGCATTTACTCAGTGAAAAAATCAGTTTTTCCAAATAGATTACCATTTTGAAAATGTGCAAATATTATTTCGCGATTTTTATTGCGATTCGTAGCGTTTTTTTTCTTCTATATTTGAGAGGTAAGAGCGAGGATCCAAATTGTTTCCGAAATAACAATCACCCTATTAATTACGTTACATTGGAAAGATCATATAAAAAGTCCATCTTAGTGCAACGACTAAAAAAACACTTAAGGAGGTTCTTTAAACATTTGTTGAGAAATGGGACCTACACTTTTGATTTTGATTAAATCACGGTGAATTCAATGGTATAATTATTTATGTGGCTTACGCTTCAAAATCTCAAGATATTTTATCTCAAAATATGACATTTTTAACATCAGCCTTATGGAACGGCCTTATCCATAAATTATTTATAAACAAACATTAATTTGTTATAGTACCGGAGTGTACAGGGTTTATAGAAAAAACCCTTATCTTTCAGCCTGTACATCGTAAAACAGGGCTTACGCTGCAAAAAATCAAGATTTTTCACGTCAAAGTGAAAAAAACGATCTTTTCATTATGAATCAGCTGATGCCAGGCTGCGCAGGGCGTACTGCGCATACAAAATGTACAGCTCTAGACAAGAATTCACTATCGAAAAACTTGAACTGAAAGAACCTCCTTAATTTTTCTTCAAGGCCCTTGGACTAATTTTTCTTGGATAAGAAAAGAACACCAAATCTTAAGTTTACTTTAAAAATGGAAAACTATGTATGAAGTGCTTACAGTCACACAAAGAAATAAAAAATCGCGTTCATAAATATAATCAAGGTTTCATCTAACTGTCCCAAACAACTTCCTAAATTTTTTTAATGAATGGACAATCTATTTACTACATATCTTTGACATAAATGACGTACAAAAATATGATTAACACCAACAAACTGAAAGGGTGAAGACTTTCCTTTGATCAGCACCAATTACTTAAACTTTTTTATGTAAAACCTTGTGACTGGAAAAAAAATTTATTACTGAATTACCCTGACATTTTAACTTATTTTAAACTATAATTTTATATATATGCAATCAAATTTTTTTGAATAATTTGAAATTCTATATTCATAGAATTAATTTACTCAGTTATTTTCAATTTCAGTTTTTAAGCAACCAAACACTTGAGTTGGAATCATATGATTTTTAATTGTAATATCTCCAATTTCATCATTATCGCTATTGTCATCTACTTGGTCATTCTCATTGTCATCATATGCTCTGAGAGTTTCTTCAAAATAATTATTTTTATCCAAAAACAATACATAATTGATCATGAACTGTGGGGTAGCAATTTTTGAATCTATTATCTAAACTATATCTAATCATAGACTGCCTTATTTTTTTCTAAACCTGCATACATTGACCATATTTCTAAAGATCATTTATCCAATCTCAATTGTACAGTTTCAGTTTCATCAAGGTAAGCTACTTTTTTTTATGGCTTTGCTGTAGCATAATGTATCAATTTTAATGACTGCATAACAATTTCCATTTCATCATATTCATACCATACAGAAGCTAGATCATAAACTTTTAATTAATGCACAAGAATTGCTTACTCAAATACAGCTCTCAGTGCTTGATCAAAGATGAGTCTCATTTTCTTAACAAGATCTTGCTCTGTCATGAAATGACAGTAGTCCATCCAAATTCGTGGCATCTTAATCATAAAAATTAGAGCCCGTTCAAATTTTTGATTAAGATGATTGTACATCAGATTATCTATGTATCACCCTTTTAAATGTTTGATCCTGTCCTGTAGATACCAATACCAAAGTTGATAACTGACTATGGTAATTCTTTTGACGCTCACTCATAAATGACATTTAAATTTGTACTCTTGGTGGCAGTCAGATTCTCTATGTAGCATTGCCAGTGTTTGAAGGAGTAGGGATTGCGAGCAATTTCTTCTTTGTACGCCACATCTTCACTCATAATGAAGAGCTCCTGTTCGTTTGAAATGTTTTTCCACTTTATTACCATTTGTAATAATAATTGAGTCGGTAAAACCATTGAATAAAATTGCCAACTAACAAAAAAATTTCACAAAATAAATGAACACCGGTTTTGACACTTAATTATTTACAGCTCTAACTTACGTGTTAGATTAAAATAAACAAAATAAACATTGGGTATGAATCAGGGACTACAGTGCCAATTGACAATTAGAAAATATGTTATAATGTTGCTTGACAACTGACAAGCGACCAAAGCAGAACTATTCTTATATCGTATTATTTTGTGCCGAACGAGACAAGACTCGTGATTTTGTTTGCAGCATGAAGCAGAATTGTGTACATATACACTGCCATACCTGCTGTTTACAGTGATATAACGCCGCAAGCGGTATTAGAGGCTACTACGCGACCGTGGCCTTCAAAGTTTGAAAAATCTTACCCTGCCGGGCGCCGGCTGCCGCGCGCTTCTGACGAGAGTCACTATTCTCTTGTTGTCTCTCCCATCAGTTCGCGCCCCTTTATTTTTATGTGAAGTAAACGCGCAACGCAACGTTTCGTTTTCTTTTCTATACTATCAGTACAATCTGCAGTTTTTCGGTAAGTTTTTCATTGACCGCGATTTGATGCAGTGACGAGTCGGTGCAGCAGCTAAATGCAGTGATTTCGATGACGTTTCTTACAGAAATGTACGAAATTCCGCGGTTGTTTGGCGAATTCTATGTTAAGGTTAACGACGCAATGTTTGGGTGGCAGTAAAATCGATTTGTCAATCAAAATAAAAAATATTTATACAAGCTGTCCGAGTTTTTCCTCATATATAGTTTTCTTCATATTGGGATATTTGTGAAGTACTCAAATGTTCAAATTTTCTCAAAATTTCTTTAAACTTTATTAATAATATCTCCTTAATTGATCAGATTAAATTTATTGTTATTTTAATATTTACTAAATAACCAGGAAAAAATCATTTCTTCCTTCTTATTGAAATTTTGCATCTGTTAATACAGAAAAATAGTAGAAATGGACCATTCAAAATGGACTCCAACTACAAAACGTTTGAGTTGTGACAGCATTATGATGCTAAGCCCTTTGACAAAAACACCAGTAAGGTCTAATCAAACTAGGTTTAGAACCAATTATCAAAATACTTCAAATTCTTTATCTGTTCTGCCAAACCATATAACGCCACCATCTGGATTAACGAAATTTATAGCCAGAAACCCATTTGAAGCAGATTTAACTAATAAACTTCATATCTCAGTAATGAGTCCTACAGTATTTTCTAAGGTATTAAGATAAAGTTTGCTTCATTATAAATTTCCATCATTTTAAGTTATAAAAATAATGTGAGGCATTTACTAAAGGTTGGGACACCAAGTCAAAAAAAATCCCCTGGATTTGTTTGGAGTATTGATGAATTAGCACTCATTCAACCTGCTAAAATTGATGAACTTTCAGTTCAACAAATGCACTGCTCTGATCCTGAACTGGAAAAAAATGCTCAAGAGGCAATTAGTAAATTTTTTAGTAACAGTCAAATTATTCCTAGTCCATTTCATATAAAAATCAATGAAGAACAAAAGAGGATTATGCTACCAACGACTCCCTCCAGACTTCATAATAAAACTTCGGAAAGTCTTATAAAGGAAACAAGAAATAGTGAGTGTAGAAAACTAAAAATAGTACTGCGGGATTTTTATATTATAAATATTTGATACTCTTTAACGCAGCAATATTATATTTTAAGATTATGCACAGACTATTCTAACACTACCAGTCAATTTACCTCCTGAAGTAGAAGAGGCTCTTCAACCTTATTTTACTTTTACGGAGGTAATTTTTCATTTTTAATTTTGATACATAATAAGACTTGAAAAGTTGACAAATTTTTTTTGTTAAAGGATCAGCAGTATGATAATGAAGAAGCTAATTGTAGCAACAGCTCTTTGAGGAGAAAACTGTTTGCAAATCATGATGAATCTCACAATGAATCAAGTGACTCAATTTCACTTTCTCCGGTTAAATCTGAAAAATCTGATTTTGTTAGTATCCTAAACTTGAGTCCTGCTCAAAGTGGAGTTTTTTTTCACGGTACTCCACTACGATCATGTATTAATAGTACATTATTGAAGGTATTCATTTATTATCTTACATAACTAAAGTTCTCAACTATTTACTTGAAAATATACTGATTCTTCAATTTTTTAATTTTAGAACTGTTCTCAAGTGATACAACGAAATTTTGGATCTCCACTTACTAGAAGAACTTCTTCATCTCCTTGTGATGTTTCACCTATCAGTAACAATGCATTTAATATGTCATGTCAAAGTATAAAATCTCGAAAATCAGTTACAAAACTAGATTTTACAAAAGAAATGAGTATTGAACTTGAATCTGATGAAGAATCAAATAATATTTCATTGAGAAAGAGTAAGTATTTGCTTTGCTTGAAATAAAACTTGAAATAATATATTAATACTTCATAATAATTGCCTTCTTTTGTTCCTCAGACAATCAAGACCATTTACAAACAACAGTGGAAGTTACCAAAATGGTTGCTTCTGGTGAAAATTCCAAGCTAGAATGTGAAGATAAAGAAAACTACGTATGCAATTTCTTGAAATCACATAATTCAAAAATGGTTGATGAGGGCAAGGATTATGTTAGTGAAAGTTATGCTATTGGTAATATGTCTTCTGGGAACTATACTCATCAAACTGGATTTCAATCAACCCAAGATACTGGTTATCAAACTTTTAGCAGCAGCAGTAATTTAACAAATACAATGGATGGTTACAGTAACTCAATGAAACATAAACTTTATTGGGATGATAAAATTACAGAAGAAGAAGATGAAACTAATTTGACAGATTGGAAAAAAAATCTGAAAAATATGATTAGTTCTACTCCTTCTAAGTTGCACAAAGGCCTTAATGGTAATTGAAAACTATTTTATTGAAGAATTGTATATAATTTTGACTGAAAACAGAAACGTATTTATCTAATGAATGCGTTTATTTGATAAGCGATGAATGCTTTTAACCTTGTGTGGATACATGTCCGCATGTCAGGTAGATGAAAATGTGATTTAGAATAAAATTGTATATAATATAATTCGCAGCAGAATTTCTTGAGATATACATAAAATTATATCTATTGATTCTTGAAAAATTTTTATCGTGAATAATCATTTTCTGAGGATGTACATGAATGATTCTTTGGAAATATTCTCAAGAATTTCAAAAGCATAATGATGTATATTATTTGAAAAAATAACAGCATCTTTTAAACACATCAATAATTTTGAAGTATTAATAATTATTTCTGATTTAGACAAGAAGTCAATGTTTATGCCTTCTTTGTATTGACTGGACCAACAAAATGATAATTTGATCTTAATATTTATATAGACAATTGTAATGTATATGCAATATTTAAATGAATTGCTTGATTTTGCTGACAGCAAAGACAATCTCAATAGCAGATATTTGTGCAATTTTTTTGCCACATAGTAAATCAAATTTAATTTTAAGTTGCATCTCATTTGATTAAAACAATTATGTAACTATGATCATGGTCTCATGATAATTAATTGCTTGTAAAACACTGATTTAGGAATCAAGTATTGCAGGTTACTAAGAGTATAGAGAAGTTCTGAAAAAGCTCTAATTTTATTTTCGAAAGATATGTATTATTGATTTTATTTTATTTTTTTATACATTTCAAAAATATTTGATGTAATGAAATTATACTTGAGCTTGATTCTCCATATCTTTATTGTTAGACATGAATGTTCATGAATTACTCTGAAGTAATTCATTTTTTTAACATATTCCTTACAAAGAATGACAACATTTGTTACAGCAAGACTGAATTATACTTAAATGTTAGCGATCATGTGCGTGTTTTTTACGAGTCCGCAACGTAAAATCATTTGAAATGGGAACAATAAAAATTGTACTTTTGTGCAAAAAAAAAGTAAATAAAATTTTTTTTACACTTCATATAATCAACTGCATATTTATTTCATCAATTATTCAGTCACTTTACAGTAGTTGTGAAACCGAACACATAAATTATAAAGTGGTATTAAATACCTTAAAGAAAATACGCTTTTGGAAATAGTAATGTTGATACGAGACATCACAGAGAGACCGCTAAGGCGGAAAACTAGCGCCGCCTACTGGTCGGTGTAAAGATTAAGCATTAGAAGTGATTTTTTGCACTTATTCGTAATTCTTTAATACTTGAGTACAGCAAGTAAAACCTTATATATAGATATATTCTATATATATGTATATTTTATATGTTGTACCTGCTGGATGTGTTGTCATTGCAACGACGAGTGATCATTTGTACGACGTGTTGACGTTATGGAATAGTTGTCCCTATAGGTCGTAGTTTTTAGTAAGATAATTCTATTCACAAAAAAATCAAGTTGTCTATAAACTTCTGCTTCTGTGAACATATTTCCCATAAACATGTTCACGTAACGGGCCTAGTCGGCATTCCAACGTTTTTGCAGGTACATTATGACGATACCTTATGTTTTGTTATCACAGCATACTTGTCGACTCCTATATATTTGCAGGATTTTCATTGATGAATTCATAATTTTTCTATTTAATGGATAAATAAACGTTTTTGAATTTAATTGACAAGAAATCTGTTGGCAAGTGAACATTGTTTAAAAGGAACATTTGGCATATTTTCAGCAGTTTGAGTTCAAGTGAAGATGTCAGAGGCCAAAGATAAATCCAGTTTTAATATTGATGTTGTTTTGCCTCAACAAGGACTGCTGTATTCCGAACACACATTTGATTACATACTTTGCAAACCAAAGCTAATGCCCCTAAAGTCTGTTACTTTAGAAAAGCTTGAGAAGATGCAAAAAGAAGCAGATGAAAAACTAAAAGAAATGCAAGAACAAGATCAAGTTACTGGAGTACATTGACTGCAGCACTATTAAATCTTTTCTACTGCTACTTTTTTTCTACTACTACAATTTTTCTATTGAAAACTAGCACAAAATGTCAATCGGACTACTTTTGACTGAAGTTATAGTGTCCTTTTGCCTTGCAGCAACTTTGCTGTATAGGTATGGAAATATTTTCCGAAATCATTTAATAGTTACACTATCAGTTCTGATTGCTTGGTACTTTTCATTACTTATTATATTTGTATTGCCTTTGGATGTGTCTTCGGTAAGTTTTTAAAATTTATCGATTTTATAGTTTCGATAATTTGAATGAATTTTTTTTTGCAGACTGTTTTTCGACAATGTGTCAATAATAGTATTAACATTGATGATTCATCAATAGTTCATGCTCTTGAAAATGGTTCAACAACCATCCTGCCGCCAACACATCAGTGCAAAGAGCCATGGTCAATGGTACCAGTACCAGAAAGAGTTTACCGAAATCTTTGGAGAGTTGTTTATTGGACCTCTCAGTGTTTAACATGGCTCATATTACCATTAATGCAGTCTTATATAAAAGCTGGTGATTTTTCTATTCAAGGAAAACTAAAATCTGCATTAATTGATAATGCTATTTATTATGGAAGCTATCTATTTATTTGTGGAGTATTGTTAATCTATTTAGCAATGAAACCAGGGGTTGATCTTGATGGGTAAATACTTTTGTATTAATGTTATTTCATCAAGAATATTTAAAAACTTTTAATTACTTTAATTCAATTTTTTTCAAATATTACAGCCCAAAAATCAAGGCAATTGCCTCTTCAGCATCAAATACCTGGGGTTTATTTTTATTGGTTCTTCTTCTTGGTTATGCTCTTGTTGAAGTACCCAGAGGTTTGTGGAATGCTAGTAAACCAGGTTATACTTTGCACTACAGTTATTTTAAAGCAGCTAAACTTAGCATGGATAAAGCTGAGGCTGAAGATACTGTTGCTGATGTGTTAGAGGTTTGTGCCGTATAGTCTTTGGTATTATTTAAAAATAACTTATCTCATTTTTTAATACTATTTTTTAGTCTCTTCAAGCTGCTAATATGGCTATCAATCCTGGTCATCCTTTCCACAATCATTTAGAAACAATATTTCAAAAAGTTCCAGCTGAAATGAAAGACATGATGAATAGAAGGCAATTACCAGATGATACACCTATAGATATACCATCAGAAAAAGCTCTGATTCGTTTGCATAGAAATGTAAGAGTGCTTAATTTACAAACATTCTGAGTTTTGATTATTGTAATTATTTAATTTTTTTTATTTAGACTATAAAATCTTTGCAAACATTGCAAAGAACTGAAACTCAATGGGGTATTTTAGTAGAAGATATTTTTAATTTGGAAGATATCGCAAGAAATCAAACTAGTCATGATAAAAGATTTAAGCCCAGTTTTCCTGTGCAACGTTCCGGAATATCGCGATATTTTTATAATCCCATTATAGGTATCTGAATATGAAAATGATACTTTTTTAAAATTTTTTATAGTAAAAAATATTATCATCATTTAATTTTAGAATGGTATTGGAAATGCTTTTTCAAAAGTTACATACAAAAAGCCTTATCTGTACTCTCAGCCATGTTATCAATTGCAGTTGTTTGGTCAGAAGTTACCTTTTTCAATGAAAAACCTGTGCTTTCGTTATTTGCAAGATTTGTCAATATGGCAAAAGCAAAATATGATTATTTTACAATTGAGGTGAACATACATTTCTCATTAAATTAAATGAAGCTTGTGAAATTGAATTTTACAATAATTGATTTAATTATTATTTTTCAGATGCTGTCAACTTTGGTGATTGCATATTTATGTTATTGTGCTTACTCTACGGTTCTGAAAATTCGAGTATTGAATTTATATTATTTGGCACCTCATCACCAAACAAATGAATATAGTTTAATATTTAGTGGTATGATGCTGTGTCGATTAACGCCACCAATGTGTTTAAATTTTTTGAGTTTGATTCATATGGATTCACATATTATAAAGCAGCAATTTATGGAGACACAGTATACCCAGGTATTGTATTAAATTAGATCGTTCAAAAAATTATCTTGACACTAATAAATTAATTACTTTAGATTATGGGCCACATGGATGTTATAAATATAATATCTGATGGATTTAACATTTATTTTCCTATGGGAATGCTTGCATTTTGTTTAGCAACTTACTTTAGTCTTGGTAGCCGAATGTTATCCATGCTCGGCTTTCAACAATTTTTGGGTGACGATGAGCTTACAACTGATCTCGTTGAAGAAGGTCGTGAATTGATCAAAAGAGGTACTTTCCACTTAAAATTTCATGAAAAAATGTTTAAACACTAACTGAATCAACATTTCATAGAGAGGCGAAAACGTCAAAGACAGGAGGACGCAATTAGTCGCCGGCGTGAATTTCAAGAGAGATTACCAAGCAGCGGAAACGCTTCGCGCTACAGAAGTTCAAGACAAAGCAATGACACGGGTGTGTACACAATTAATGAATTAGACGCGTGAAAAAAATGTTGCTAGTGCATATATTTTTTATGATTTTCAAAAATGTTGAAATGCAATAAAGAATGTAAAGTATCAATAGTTCTGCACATTACAATATACGTGCTCATGTTTAAATGTAGAATTATATGCATAAAAAATTCACCCAATCATATTTGTCCATACGAATTTGGTTGTAAATCATACTTTCTAAAAGATAGACTTTTTAATAATTTTCAATTTTTTACTATTTATTTAATCGAATGAGTAATTAGTTTAATATAAATAGTTTTCGAGGTTTATTAGATGATTAAAAGAAAGAAGTATTATTTTCAAAATCTTCGTAATAATCCGAAGATAGTATTATTATATTTGAATATATTTTATTTATTAGTGAATCTAATTTAAATGTAGTATTTGTGTTGAATTTTTGAACATTTTTTGCATAATTTACTAGAAAAGTTTAAAAAATAAACTCAGATTGCGAGATAAATTTTTTGCTCATCATTTTTGCATGGATTTAACTATAACGTTTGCTTTCTAACTATACATTACTTATTGTGTATATGTAAGTGCGTGTAAATAGAGTTCAGCTTGAAAATCATGTAGTACGCGTGTACAGTGCGTGTGTGAAAGTGAGCGAAAACCCAACATAGTATTCTCGTTTTGCTATTTAGTGCGCTCGATGAAAAGGGACGATTCGATCGATTCAGCGCGAGCTGGACTGCTGCGTGATTTTGAGGCCAACAATGGTGTTTCGTCGACAACGACAGATTACGTGCAGCACGTCAACCGATCAGCCAGCAACCAGTCATTCAACAATGATGGCTCCTATTATGGAACCAGTGAATCCAACCGTTTCGACCGTGGCTACCCTGCCGACGATTATTCGGACTTTGCCGGTGATAATTTCTGGAACTACACAAGCGATAGCAATCGCGTCGGCCCGGCACCACGGGGACTATTTGATGATATTTGAACATGCTACGATCCTCGTTGTTCAATGGCAATGAGTTTGACAAGAAATATGCATTTAACTGTATCGAGTTGGTACGTGTGAAAGTCATTTTGTACATCAATGAACACCAGAGTGCGCCGAACAATAAAATAACTGTACGATAATCAATATGAAGATAATCTCAGTTGGTATCAATAGTTCATTACTTTAGAAATTGTATACTTATTGATGGTTCCATTTGAAATTCATTATTATACTCATGCAAAATAGTATAGCGTAGTTTTGCCAAAAACTACCAATAAGTTGTTTCGGGCACATTCAAATACGGCCACGAAGTAATGCTATGCTCTGGAGATGCAAAATTTAATCACTTTCAATGCATACGATTTGAGATAAAATAATTAACCCAATTGATGCACAAATAACGTCAATATCTTTGGTAGATTTTACGAGAAAAAAGTTAGTTATTTAATAACATATAATAATTGAGTCTAAACCTAGATCAAAACCTTATTAAAAACTTTTTACAAACAAACTTGTGTCATATTCCCTTCAACTCATTTGCTTTAAAATTTATTCAGATTCTAATATCGATTTACGATATAAAAAAAAAAATTTAGAGGTGTTATAAAGATTTTCACTTTAAATCTTCGATACGAATATAAATTTTTTTTATTTACTCACTTTCTATAATTTTTTTTTTAATACAAAGGTAATTTTGTTTAATTGATATGTTTTTTTCTGTTTAAAATGAAAATTATAGAATTTTTTAGAAATGGATTTTTAGTTCCGAGATACATACCTAATAAATTCATTTAGCTCATCTGTATTTATGAATTTTTGATGTATAAATCGAGTACCACTACCGATATAGATTATAAAAAGTGTCGCACCATCATTAGTAAATTAATGTAGTTAAATTTTTTATCTCAAGTATAATTATGATAGCGATGGGCTAATTTGGACGAGGTTTCGATTATGTGAAATCTGTGCACTTTTCATAGTTAAAATTTGTAAGAAGTTTTACGTAATTTGAGCACCTCGAATATATTGTAGCGAAAAAGGCCGGTGCGCTGTATATGAGGAGCGTATATGCCTCAACTCTCTCTGCCATACTTGCCAGAGGGAGCGCGCTCCTCGATAAACGGACGTTAAGGGATTATATGTTCAAGTCAATAGTTTATGTTTAATGCTCAACAGATAAATAGAGGACTTTAATCAAATTGACAAATACCATAAAGCGTAAAATTATTTTTTTCAGAATTAAATTTCATGATGTTTTTTTAACATTTGGTATACATAAACATTGTTGTTTTTTCAACAGTAAAAATAATTATAAGTTAATTTGTATACACACCATATTTTTGTGGAATTGTTAAAGTTTAAAAAAAATTGCATTCCACATTTACCATAAAGATTATTGACACGATTGTGGTAAATAAATTTATCCTACAGTGAAAATGAAAAATATCCAGTCTAAATAAATGAATACTTAATTTGAGTTTCATGATATTATTTATTTTGCACTTTTAACATTGGAATAAAAGAGTATATCGAATGAGTATACTTTCCACTAATGTTACACGTTGCTCTTTTTTAATTCTCTAAATCCCCTTTCAGGATAATAATATTAAAAATTTATAGCTAAAATATATTTTGTATAATTATTTGTTCAACATTTGATGTTGTACAACCAAATTATTTATAAAACATTCATCGTCCTGGAGGTACACCATAAAAAATGTTAAAGTGTAATCTCAAAAATCAGTAAAATTTTACATTGTGCTTATAAAAAAGACGACGCCTCTTTTTTTTTACATTTTACTAAACATGCTCTTATTCACATGAATCGCATGTGTTTGTTTCAAACTTCAACAACATTAGTTTAGATCTAAATTAAAATGTGTATGTAGTCTAATAACTAGGTATATTTGATCAATAAATATAATCTCAACGGTAACGATAAATAGTAAAATCACTTGAAAAGTAATTTGAAAAGAAATGTATTGAGATAAACGTAAAACAAAATCAATTCAAGCAGGATACACGAGATAGGATGCGATACTGATAACGAAGATAATAGTGAAACAATAAGCAGTTAAGATTTTTATGAGTTTTTTGCGTTCGCTCATTTTTGCATTGTAATACGATGGGTTTTTGATGAGCTTTGGTTTTGTACCAGATATAGCTATAAATAATGGCTCGAGCATTAATATACTTGTTCTGTTGTTTAAATTTTCTACTTGCTCAACTGCAGGATCTTGTTCTAATATCGGTACTTTCATTGTAGCATTTTTATGCTCAGTAGGACTAACAATTGCAGTATTCATTTCTATGTCAACTACTTTTTCCGAAAACTCATTGTACACCTTACTTTCAGGAAAATTATAGTTTTCAGTCCGAGATAGATAATTTTGTTGATTTGAATTCGATGCCAAAAGTAAGGCGTTTGGTTCGAAGCTGAATTGGAGATTGTTTGGCTGGACGATTGAACCGTCATTATGAAAGGTACCAGAAGTTTCATTCCTCGACGATTTATAGATCGGGATAAAGTCATCATCATCGGGATGAGTGAAAGTCGTTTTCTCGGATACTGGCAAAATTTCTTTAATTCGTAGAGGCTGCTTTGCGTAAAACAATCGATCGCTATAAATTGGGCTTGTGCCTTCAACGGCACAGAGGTAGCAATATTTCCGGGCATAACTCGGACGATCACTTTCGAGGTCTATGAGATCAGTATCAATCGAAGTATCGATTTTTCTCCTCTTGAAAGCCACCGTTGCAGTTTCATTGATGACGTCATATAATTCTATTAGATATCGAACATCGTCGGAGGGTGCGAGTGCGTGTGTCTCCGTGATTACGTGCTGGCTACGTTTTGTTGCATGATTATTGCTACTACTTTTCATTTCTGAGTGAGGTTTGTGCTGGTGACTTTGGTGAACACACGCGTACTTTGCTCAGTTTGTGGAGCTCTCTAACTCGAGATTTTCTTTTAATCTGTTCAAATCGTGCAGTACCTGTAATGAATTAAAAATGACAATAATAATAATAATGATAAAAGTAATAATGATAAAAATAATGTACCTCGATAATAGCCGAGGCACTCCACGCTTGAGTTTGACAACTGTCGCGACAGTATTCTCCTTCCTTGTTCGTGAGTTCAGGAAGGCCACGCCAATGATTACTGGAAGCCTCGGTAAGATGCCTGGAAATGACTGCCTCGGTCCATTCGATGGTACGTTGAAGCTCGGTTTCGTCTCCAAGCATCGACGTGTACTGCAGCTTTGCTCGTAAAAAGTACCCAATCGGCCAGAGCCATTCGGGCCCTTGATGATAATTCCATCCTTGAGCCACTTTCGGATCGTTTGAGTCGTTGGCATTGTCATAAAAGCCGTTGTAGGCCCAATCGGCGGGATCCAAAGTTTTCATGCCCAGTGGGCCCAAGAGAATTTTTTCGGCTTGTTTCAAGGCCGTTAAGGCACGTTTAGGATTAAACAAACTGGGCGACTATAATGAAATCCCACTATGAGCTATCTTGATGATGGCTTTAAGATAAAATTCAAAAAGATATACTTACGGCAACCATAGCTACGGGAAAATTGGGTCTCAATTGGTAATCCGTCCATGGCTGTGTAGCTCCGTGACAATCTTTATATATGCCACGCCGATGAATCAAATCGGCTCCCAACTCACCTTCAGTTGCTTCCTCGTTCACATAGAAGTAAGTATCGAAGTTATCCTTAATTTTGTCGGCCCACTGCTTGTAACTCCAAGTGACCGTTGTACCTGTGCAGCAGAGAGCCAATTAACGCGCATCGTCAACGCCAATTAACGAACCGCTCGACTCAAGTCTACGAACCATCTCGATTTTTACGCTGAACACTGCCGTGAGGAAAAAGATTTTGTTTGTAGAGCTCAGCGAGAAACACGAGACTGCTGTGGCATAGTCCAACTATTTCAACGGCAGAGCCGTCCCTCGGCGTGGCCGGTTTACCCTTGTTGCCGGCTTTCACCGAGGAGCCCATCTTATCCATCCAAGTGCCGCAGTTGGCCTCGTTGCCGCCAAACACGAAGCCAGTTTCGGGATTCACGCCGATCTGATTGTTGAAGCCGCGATCGGTCATGTGCTCGTCTATGCGGGGGCCGGCGTTGCGCTCGCGGAAACAAAGACCCTGGAAATGTACGCTAAGGGCTTCGTGCATCACGTCGTGCAGTGGTTGATCCTGTGAAAGATGCCAGAGTTTACAAGAACGAAAGCCGATCTTTGCTCGTTGGCTTTTCGACTATTTACCACTTGGCCAGCGGCAGTTGCTGGTGAATCGTCGCTTGGAAACAGCCTCGAAACTTTATCCGTTAGAATACTCAGACCGTTCGGAGTCTCGTTGACGAAGCATTGAATCGCGTAGAGCCACCACCACACGGCATCTCGACAATTAAATCTATGCATTTTCAAAAGTCATATTTTTCTTTGGACATCAAGTTCTAATGTAATGCACGGTAGATTATAAAAGTTATACCTGGCATTTGCACCTCCGTCCAATAAGTTAGGAATCAAACCATGACGCAAAGTACCAGCGAATGCGAGAATGATGAAGCGAGCCTCTTCGTACCTGCCGGTGAGCACAAGTAAACCTCGAAGGGCAATGAAAGTGTCTCGACCCCAGTTTCTCATGTATCCCACGGCAAAGTGCGGTAATCCAGCCGACAAGGTCAGGCAGTGTTGTTTCTTGGCACCGTGCATGTCTTTGATTTGCGGCAATGGGGGCTCCAATGCCGGTGATAAATCCGGTAGCTGCGCCGACTTTATGATTCCGCCAACTTGAACCGATACCAATGACAAAAGTCGAGTGAAGTCCGTTCCGTCTCTTACGAAGCTGAAACGCGTCGTTATCCGGACGTTAAAATTTGAATCTACAGTACTTGGGTGCTATCTATACTGAATAAAAAATGCTTATACTTGGACATGAGACTGAAGCATTGCTCGATGAGAATCGAGTACACGTTAACGATGATGACGTCAAAATAACTTGGGACTAAGTAGCGTGGGATTAGCTTAAAAGGTTCCGAGGCTTTTTCCAACCATTCGCCTAGGGCCAATGTACCATCGTCTTCTTTGAGTCGCTGCCACGTGTAATCTATGAAAAACCATCGATTCATTTGTAAATATATTCGTGCCAACCGCACCGATACATTTTATCAAATTCTTACCAATTAACCAGTTGCCTTGTCGAAGATTATTGCACAACGGATGTCCGAGATCGTTATTTGAGCGTATATCAGCCAACAAAGATATCACACCTAGGTCATGCAATAAATAAATAAAGCGATACGTTAAAAACATGTACCCAAGAAAAAAAAAATTAATAAAGAAAAAAAGGAAAAAAACGAACCTTGCAGTCCAGCATAAACTAAAGGTCCGTAACCAGGTATATCATAAACGCCAAACTTGTTTGAAGTTTCGTCTCGTTCTTCTTGATCGCATCTGTAGAGAGCTCGGTTGAGATCGGCCAAGCTCAAACGCGACGCTATTGCACGCAGATCTGTGTTGTTCAAAGTTGTGAGCATTTCAACGAGGTCGTTAGCTTGCTCCACAGCTGGTTTAATATTGGCGTGAAGAGAAACTCTGCGAGAATCGGAGCAATTACTTAAAAGAAATTCCGATATAAGTTATTACGTTTACTGACCTTATGGCTACGACCGAGCCCGGCTGGAATTGAGTAAAGTTCAACTGAGTGATTTTAGGGTCCCCTGAATCGACTTTTTCAATGGATTTCGAATCGCTTAGTTGAATGTGTTCTTGGACACGGACCTTATATTCAGAGTATCCATTGACATATTTTTCGTTTTTTAAGTATGATTTAGGATAACTGAAGCGAGGCCCACCCTTCCTGTAGAAAATACAGGTTTAGTCGTAATTATTCTACGTAAGTTTTTTCCTTTTTTTCGAGAATAAAGTTAAATAATTACGCAAATCCTTCGTGGGTCAATCCCGCCTCAAGAATAATTTCTTCGACAATACCCTCGACTCTCAATGGTTTGATGTAACGATGTAAGTCCCTTGCGTTAGGGTCTGGATGTCTAAAGGCTGTAAAGGCCACAAGCACGACGCTCTCGTGAGTCAAGGGAGAATGCCTCGTTACGGCCACCACGTCTACGTCCAATTGATCGACAAACACCTGTGAAAAGCACTTGAGTCCAAGCCAGTAGTGCAAGTCGTTCAGGGCTCTTTTTGCCGCGATGATTCCTGATTCGCAATTGACGTATCTGTCGTCCTCGAGGGCCAAATTTTCGTCGTCCGTCCACTCGGTGTACTGTCTATCCTCGTCGACTACGTGAATCTGCAGAAAATAATTTCTCATTGCACTATACGAACCAGCTGAGCTAGACTATTGTCAAAGATAGAAAATGAATCTCACATGATGAGGCACGAGTTCGTCGTAGCCGCGATTGCTGCCACTAGCGCAGCAAGCCATGGAGACGAGAGCCGCGCTTGGAAGCAAGTCGAAGACGCTGCGTTTCTCCACCGGGCTCGGATTGTCATGGGTCTGATCGAGAAACAGAGCATAGGCTATGCTCGGTACCAGAGGTCTGTGGCGAGCCTGAATGAAAGCTCCGACGGGCTCACCTCCGTATCGGTACACCAGTCTACCTTCCTCGTGACTGTCCCAAGCCGACATGGCCTCTGCGCGTGAATTTCAATTGAGTTTTATTGCTTGCCTAAGAAGTAATCCACTTTTAAAAATTTACCTCTGACTAAGCAAGTGATACCCAAGCGATTGACGAAAATATTATCCTTTTGATCAGAATTCGTGAATAGCTCAGCGACGACGAACAAATCTGGTTTTACTTGTCGAGCCGCGTCTAACATGTACTACAAACATCGAGATTACCAGTATTAATCGAATGAGGACTTTTGAGCTTCGAGTTTGACTCACCTCTGCCACGGGTATCGGAGTCGAATGACAATTGTCCAGCCTGATGCCGTCGAAAATTTTGGCTGTTTGCTGCACGTAACTGGCCATACGTTTCCACAGTGCCGGACAGTCTTCCGGGTTGTCTCCATATCGAAGCTTCACACTGTCACCCCAGGCTATGAGCTCTCGCCTTATGTACACGTTCGAGTCGGGATCGGCAAAATTTTTTAGAGGGTCACCGTTCATAACCCAGCCGTTGTGGGCCATCAAGTAGCAGCCCTTTATCGAGTACATGATTTCTTCTCTTTCCGCGAAATTTCTCGGGCTACCGTAATCGGTAAAATACCTGCGAGAAAACTAATTCGGTCATTGACGCTCAATAAGCTGTCAAGTAAAAAATTACTAATATTACCTAGGTACGAGTGGATTCCTCGTGCTCACTTCTTTTAGCCGTGGTCCATCGGCTTGGACACGGAAGTATCTCATTCCGGAGATGGAATTTTCAACGGCAGCGTTTAAATGATTCTGAATTTCGTTTGTAATACTATCGTTGAGTTGCTGTAAACGATTTTTTAGCTCTTCTGTACATTTTCGCAAGCGAGATTCTTCATCGAAGCAGTCGGGCCTACATTAACACCATTATTTTTCAAATGAAACTGTTAAATTTTCCTCTCTTGTAATTCAAACTTTTACCTGTAAACATTGTACAATTTAAGCGCCAATGGCATATCTATAGTAGCCTTCAACCGTCGATAATCCCGATCTCTTATGATATCGATAGATTTGCCCGCAAATTCCTCCAAATTTTCATTCGGTAGCTGATTTCTCACACAATTCGTAAACTCTGATATTATCTCCTCGATGTTAAGCGTGAATAGCTCATGGATTTTGGCAATCGGTAAAAAGTGTGTGTGCAAGGCATGACGTATAGCCTATAATCAAAAATTTGGTTGAATGTCAGCTAATCGATACCTTTGTTCGAATCCTCTATACCAACATTTAAATGGTCTTCTGTTTCGACGACTGCTGGAATTCCTCGACTCTCCCAAGAGCCAGTTTCGACTTGTAACGTAAGCTCGAATAAAATTGCATCCAAAATGTAGGACGGACGGAGATGTGGACAATTGACACAATTGTATGTACATTCAGGATTATTGATCAAAAATGGACTCTCATTGGCTGTGTGATTCAGGACAATGTCGCATATACTAAGCGTCTGTAAATTATTGATGAAAAAAAATATTTCACAATCGTTGTAAAATACTATTAGAAGCTTATACTTACGTCCCATTCATCGCGGATTTTTTTTATAAGCTGTTCTATTTGATCAAACGTCGTTTCTTTGTCAGGACAATCGTTAAACGAGGAATTGAGTTTTAAATGATCGCTGAGACTGTATGCCGAATTGGACTCTCCCAAAGTCTGTGATAAATTTGAAATCGTAAGTATCGCATCAATAAAAATGATGAATAAGATGAAAAATATTACTTGTATAGGAGTGAAATGAATCATATTGTAGCCAGATTCGTAGGATACCCTCAATTTATTTTCCCAAGTCGAAAATGGTCCAAGTAGCTTGGATAGTACTGTTTGGCATTGTATGCTGTCAATCGGAAGTATCTTACCATTTTTACCGACGGTAAGTTCTGGATCGACTAATATGTAACCTGATGCCATAATTTTTCCGATGTTTTCTCCACTGTAAGAATAAAAAACGCAGTTTAAACTTTGTAAAGTATGGATTTTACAATAGGGATTTCACCTTGATTGGGCGATGTAGTAATGAAAAGATCCCGCGAGAGATACCCTTAAAAATGCTGACTCGTGATTCCATGGCAAATGATAGTACGTCCCTCTTTCAAATGGATTTCCACTCAGCAATGGATGATTTGTAAAAACGTCGACCGCTTGACCTAGTAGCGAGGCGCCTAGTCTGAATTCGACAACCCATCCTGAAAGTAAAAAAAAATATTGAAAAATGTTTGTTATCTAAAAAGGAAAATCTCCAATAATTACGAATACCTTTTTTTAATTTATACAAATTGCCGTCCTGATGCTCTCCTTTGTTTAATGTTAATACTCGTACTTGGTCGTTGTTTTGAGTATCGGCTGAGAAGCCAAGATTTTCCATTATACGTTTTTTGGACTTCTGCTGACCAAATATAAAAAGATTCTATATAGTAATAAGCATTTTTAATTGAAAAAATAAATATGATTCATAAAAAGATTAATTCAATATTCACACAATTTCAAGTTATTTACGCAACAACGGTATTGTTTTTCAGTTATTATTTAAGTGAACAAATGAAAATATAATGATTGAGGACAAAGATGTACAGTACCGTAAGTAAATTCGCCAAGCTTTTATAAAGCTTTCGCAAATATTGATCATAAAATTGACAAGTATATTGAATGAATAATGCATACAAAGAGTGCAACATTTGAGGTTTGGAAAAAAGGAAGAAAAACGAAAAAGTCGAATAATATATCACATACTTGCTACGAGACAAAGACGTCGCAAAGTATGAGCTTCTCGAAATCAGCCTTTACGCGTGTTTTCATGAAATTTTAACGCTATATAGTATGTACACTCTGCACCAAACAATGCCTACTCGTTTTTTCATACGTATACAAAGTACGTACAAGCTACGTATACGTGCAAGCCACATTAAAGGTGGCGAAATATAAGTTAACAGACTCGCTCGGATTACCGTATCCTCGGTATAAGATTGAGAGACACGTACTCGAAACCTATATGTCTTGTCCCCAAAGTTTGGATGTCACCTGCGTGGCTGGTGTATTATTTCATCATTACGTTATTTTCCAAGGCAAGAACCTGACAATAATGTTGACTTGTGCACCAATCAACAGAGACCAAAAAATTATGATAAAATCTCGTGGGGCTTAAAATTGTCATTTTTTAGTCTTTATCTTAATCGTTCGAGCTATTTTCAATTCAATGCAAATCGCACAATTACATCATGCTTTTGAAATTATCATCAGCTTCTATAAATATATCGAGATTTTTCGCTTTAGTATTTGTTATATTCATGCATTTAAAGCACAAGTTGGATCAACATAAAATCGTACCATCAAACTAAAATGTTTATGACGTTCTTTTGGAAATAAAATGAGAAGATTAGAAAAGAACAATAAATTAAACATGTAACGATCACTTAATTGTATTTTTGGTTTACAGCAGTTTTGAAATTCAAGTAGTAGTCATTTTATCAAAACGTTATTTGTCTATTTAGTTACGAACTGGTTCATATACAATCAGAGAAAAAAACATTCAACACCTAACTGTTTTTTCAACGGGGCTTAATTCAGTAGCGCTTTTCTTTATAACATCTTCAATTATAATGTCAACAATTTTTTCTAGAGGTTTTTCAATCTTAACTTTTATAAGTTCCTTTGTGTCGACAGATTTGCCAGCTGTACTTTCTGAATGCTTTGAAATGCTATCATCTACTCTCTTTATAACTTCTTTTTTGACAGACTCATTAATGATAGATGTGTTAGGGTTTTCAACAATTTTTACGATACTTTTTTCAGCGGAACTTTCCGCAGTATTTTCACTCACACCTTCGATCGCACGTCGTTGGGGACTCAACTGAAATATTGCAATCAGTAAAATTGGTGTAATTTCATAAATTTTTTTTTCATTGGTACTTTAACTGAAGAATATAATTAACGAAAAGCAGTAACATAATTTTTTTAAGAAGATACTGAAGCCAGATTCAAAGGACTATTTCCGAATATTTTTCTAAAAAGCTACGAGGATGTCTTCATTTTATTGGTTTTCTAGATATCTACTTTGAGAATTATTTACTATCTTTTTAGAAAAATATTATGTAAAAATCTCAGTAAATGTGTTTAAACATTTTCGTTTTGGCCTGAATTTGGTATCTCCTTAAGATAATGAATATTTACTGAAACTTACATAAGTCCACACAAGAGTCATGCAGCAGCGAAAAAAATTTCCTATCTTCTGAAATATATTTTTAATAGCGACCATTATTGTACTCATTTATGATATAATAAACAATGTTTTGTCACAGTCGAATATCGGGATTTAAAGTCACTTGTATTTTCGACCTATTTAAAAATGAAAACAATTCACATTTTTGTTACTTTATCCACTTTATCTGATTCCTATGAAAATATAAAATTATAAAATAAAAGTAAAGATGTTAAACATGAATTTATCAATCCTCTTTTCATAACGAGTGGCAAAAAACTGATTTTGAAAGACACTGCGTACATTCTAATGAAATTGGATATGTTAATCATGAACATTTTTTTACCTCCCACTACATTAATACTCGTTCTGAGTTTTTTTGATCATCTAATATTCTCGAATTGCTAATATTTTGTGGTATTCGTGATTATTCACTATTAAATTTATATATTTGCATTGTTTCTTATTAAATATGTTATTTTAAAATATAAAATACGATCTCTATAAGGATAACCCTACTAACAGACATAATATCACTCCAACAATTGGAATTATTTCCATCACTTTTATTAAAACAATTTCAACCTTTCGTCATCATTTCCGTTGGTATTATCATGAAAAAAATATTAATTAATCAAGTTCTCGTACCAAGTTACTACATGTCAATGAAAAGAAGAAACCTATGTATAAATTAATACATTATTCTCGTCACTTTATATAAATTTTACACTTACACTACACTTACATTTTTGTACTTTCTTTTTCTACTACCCAACACTTTTAATATTCTTTTCTGTTGGTAGGGTTACTTTTACAGATATCGGTTATGATAATTTAAAATTGTGACATAATAAGAAATATCTATAAATTATTAATAAATATCTTATGTTCAATACCATATTTTTCGCAACTTATTATGAAAATTTTAACGAACCACACTTACAATCTCACTACCCTAAGTGCACGTAATTTAACATTCCAGTAACTTTATGAAAACGCATCGTGCTATTACGGTATAACCAGTTTGATTGAGCTTAAAGTTATTTTTTATTAATATTTTTAATAATTTAGTTAATAATTTGATAAAGTACAATTTAACTGAATGTGATTCATCTGTTAATAATGTAAAAAGATTGGGGAGGGGAAGTGACTTCTTAAATATGAAAATCAATCATGAGCAATTTTTCATCTTTCACTAGTTACTCAAAATATGAATCGTCGGAGTTTTTGAAAATATTTTTACGAAAAATAAGTACTCTATATCGATGCTCTAATTTAAACATGGTTTTTAAATTTTAAAACTGTCTCAAAATTATAAGCATAAATTTTTATGTTCATAAAAGCTTACCAGAAAAATTAAGTCACTCTTATTTTTATGAATTTAAAAAAATTTGTATGAACTTCAATAACGATAGAATTACTGGTACCCACAGAAAATTTCGAGAAATGTCGAGTTTATCGACGCAAACAATTGATTCCTTTAAATTAACCTTTCAATAAACAGTAGAAAAAGTACTTGATGCTTTCCTTATACAGATTAAGGTATCTTCACACTATATTTAATTTCTTAAAAGAATTAAAAATAAGATGAAAAATAATCAAGTTCAAAAAGATGAACTATAAGTTTAATTCAAAGCTTTTTCCCAGTCTAGTTTTTTAATGCATAAATGCAGAAGAAAAAGGAAATGCATCAGTTTTCCTGTCATGGAATTTGCGTCCAAAAAGTATGACTTCACGATAGGTTTAACTCCAATTTTATTTCGTGTGCCGAATGAAATTTCTTTACTTTTTTTTCAACTTTTAAATTTTTAGCAATCAAATATGATTGATTTTATTCTATAAGATAATTATGCTTAACATGTGTTTCTTTGGAAATAGTTGAACACAGAGCAAAAAACATATGAGTTAATCAACCCTATAATGAGTAACTGAACTTCATCCGAAAATCTTGATTTCAGTTTTTTTACCTTTTTTTTTATTAACTGTTTTATGAGTAGTTTTTATAAATTTGATTTTTTGCTATTAAAGGCATAAGAGTATTATAAAAGAACTATGTATTTATACGAAGTTTTACTTGGACAAATATTAAATTTGACAATTTTAAAGGCGAAGAGTGCAACCTAGGTGAGCTTGAATGAATTATTTCACAGTGAGTTGTAAAGCAGGTCAAAGCGCTAGCCGTGAATGTTGAGGTCAACCTAAATGGTACGCCAAATTCACGCACGAAACTTATTTCCATGCAAAAATGATCGATTATGATAGTATTTAGAAATTGACGTCAATTCATTAAAGCAAGTGAAGCAAAACAATTCCTCACCGGAGTTTTCAATGGTTGCGTTAATTCTATCGAGCTTTCCCTATTACGCTCTAAAATTAACCCTGAAATTGCTCAAAGTAATAAGGCATGCAAGCCTTTATTGCTTTGAGACTATTTTATACATGATAGACCTCACTGGATTTAAACACATGCACTTTCTGCACAAATTACACGAGACACTGTCAAAGGCACAAAATTTTCGCGTTCTATCTTTCAAAGTTGATAGGTGCACATAATATTAGAATTGAAAAAGGAATAATTTTAAATTTACTACTTTCAAATTTTATTTAAGTTACATTTGTATGTTATTAATAATCGAAGAAATTGTTTTTAAATCAAGTACGGATGTATGACAGCTAGAAATGGGATAAAATACTGGACGGTCACCTACATGTGCGAAGGATTACAGCTTAGACGAGGGTGCGTGATTACACGCTGATGTATCAGTAAACTTTCTTATTCGTTAAAGTACGACCTCTGCCACCACGCTTACGATATCAAAACGTCGTTATAGTTTCGGACATGTCTATCGCACAATGCAACCTTGCATCGACTCGCGGCACAAGATGCGCATAAGAAGTAGTAGCTGTAGCGAGATGAAGGTCAACAAAACTGCCCGAACTGAAAGCTAGAGATCTAATGGAAGGCCGCATGAATCTATATACACACATAGCAGCTCTTGGGTATTTAAAAGCAGACGACGATGTCTTCGTAGCCAGCTGATTCCTAACTATATTTAAGACATTATCTATATTGATCAATAGAATAATAGCTAACAAAAATCATAAGATAACCGAGAAATCTTCTTTTTCTGAACAAGATAACGAAGGGAATGCAATACAAAACAAAATAAATTTTGATATTTTTAGTTTAAAAGTAGAACTTTAATTCATCAATATTGATAAAATTGTTCACACCTTCGACATGAAATGACCAAACATCGATTTTGAAGATAACAATTATTATTTCGATTAGTTTTGATAAAATTAATACATTTATTTCATTTTTCATTCAACTTATAATTATAGTTTTTTCAAGTTTATCATTGTATACTCCATATATATTTGTGAAGAGTTAATTTTGAATGATTCTTTTATTGCTATTTTTTACCAGCAAGTCGTTCTTATTATTGGAAAACGAGTGAACTTTGGAAAAACTTTTTTGAGATATCTATAAAATATTTTTAAACTTATATGTCTAAGAAATACCTAAATTTAGGTATCTTAGATTCCTGTCAGACTAAAATTTAGTAAAAATTTAATAAAATCTGATAAATATACACGAGGGTAATATTTTTTCTTAAAAATTCATGCCAAAGAGTTTGGGGGAATATTATTTGGGACTTAATGGGTTAAAAGTACTTATTTTTTAATTTTTCATTGTTTTTCGTAATGTCTAACATAGAATCTAGCATACAACTTAACAATCACGATTCAGAAGCTCAAGACGTAGCCCGAAAAGAACAGCACCAACTGTCAACTGAAATCCTATCTATAAAAGCAACGAACGGGACTCTAAATTGTATTACTATAATATGAATAGTTGAAGTGAATATAATATTTAATTTTATCATATATCTTATACAACACTAAACATTTTTTTTTACTTTTTATAGTACTCTTTAATCGTGGTTTCACTGTTGATTTTCACATGTAAGTAGTCTAATTCAGAATAGAAATGGGAACACGCGGCGAAACGAACCTGAAATCGATTCAAACATATCCGCCAATGTTTCTGTTGGTTTCGGTGTATTGGTCGATAAAGAAGACGCTACAGCCATTCGTTTATCATCATTATTCGCGCTGTACACAATGGCAATAATGCTGAGAGTCGTCTGCACACATAATAACCGAACAAGCGTGCCACCGAATTCTCCACGGCCTGTATAGTAAAAAACAATAAAACGCGAAATTGCGAGTTAGGAGGTTGCGCGTACATAGTGCTGCATATATAATACTTGTTTAGTCACAGTTTGCGAGCAGCGTCTGTGTAGTGCGTGCAAAATGGCAACATCAACCGATGAATTGAGTATGTATACATTATTTTGAAGTTGATTACACCTCGTTCATGAGGCTGTGCACAACGACCGTTATATTTTTATAGTGAAAAGCAAATAATTTTGAAAAGTCCGAGCTGGTGAATGACTGGCGAATGTGCCTGGCTCGTATAGCGTTCGCTTTTAACGCCGCATCGGGGATATATCTTCGGTTGTCGCGTTGCATGTTATACTTCCAGTTTGTGCTGTGCAGAGTACCTTCGATTCGATTCTCATAATATATCAACTCACATTCATGAATGCAATGTTACAATGCAACAGTAGGTAAACTTGAAGATTGGCGTGCAACATTTGTTTACCAATAACCAAAACAAAAATACCCGACTCATGATGTATCATTGAGGCTGTTGATTGCTGGCGCTGCTGAGCCGTGCGCGCTTCATATGCAAGCGCAGCCCATCAGTTACTTGTTTAATTGGCGCTGAAGTTTGGAGGCTTTACTCTCAAACTTGCAATGAAGTCGATCGCGAATTACAACGAAACAGACGATCGACATTGCTCCGGCTAATTGTCGAGCAAGATCGGTAATCGATGTATTGTGCTGCTGCGATGGTCATCGGCCTGCGGGCTTGATCCTATCAGAGTAGCGCACGCGTTCTTCCGCTCAGCTTCTGCACTTACATGCTAGTGCACTGCCAAAGTTTGCAACACGTGGTTTTCCTCACTGTTCTGCTGAGCTCTCTGCAATCTATCTTAGTTTTTATACCTACTGCTTTGCGTGCTCTTTGCACTTTCATTCGCGTTTGCCATTGCATTTGTGTGTGTCTCTCTGGTGCATTCAAGCACGAAAGGGCTTAAAAGACTGTATGCACTTATACGTCGTCGCGTACATGTACTTTACGAGCTCGAGCTATTCGTCATATTCGTTATAATAAAACTCCATGCACATCGAGTGTTGTATATACCTTGTATTCGCACATATACTACATACTACATAGCACCGAAAGAGAGAGAGACAGAGACAGAGAGACACTGTACATTGTAAGGCTGTACTGCTTGCTCTCTGCTAACACCCATCCGTATCATATAGGTGCTGCAGACGAGTCAACGTGTGTCTGCCATCGAACTGCAAGATTGATATGTGGTGAATTTGTTATTGTTTTTTTTTTTTTGACTCGCACGATCGAACAGACTGCAGTGACCGAAATAATGGCAATGGCTGAACAGCCGATGGATGCAAAAAGTTTGTGCTTATTTCCTTATTCTGTTAATTTATAGAACATTTTTTTTTATGTCTAGAAGCATTTTTTAATTTAACATATCTATATATGTATGAAAAATAACTGACATTCCACAAACCAGGTAGCCTAAAGTAGTATGCGATTGCAAATTGTGTGTAATATTCGCAATAAATTACGTGGCTAATAGCCATTGTAAGCTTCGCCCAACTTTTATACAACTCAGCTTTCTTTCATCAATTGTTCCTGCTAACGGAGCAGTTGCATTTCGTTGCAGATCAGTCATTTATATACATACACACCCACAGTTAAAGAGTTCGCATTTCCGAGTCTTTTCGTCATCTTTTGCTGACTTCGCGTGCGCTAAACTACGGCAACGACATATAACAGCTGATGTTGATGCTAATCATCCCTATAATGACTCGTACTTTTCGAATCGAAACCGGCTGCGTCTATTGTGTTGCTGGCTACACCTATAGTTTTTTAACTATAATTGCAATATGGCTTTCCTCGACTATATTTATAATCAATGAATGTTCTGCTCTTTCGTCATGTCGCCGAACTTGGTTTTACTATGGCGGAATTTATTTCTCATACGTTTTACAAATTTTCTGACATGATTAGCTAATCACTCTTCATCTTAAGCACAATAAATCATTGATTATCTAATAGAGAAAATATAAGGTACCACCTTTAGGAATTATGATATCAATCAACTTTTTAATGATTTGATGATTAATGATATTAAAAAACTCAAGAGATACATCTTAGCGTTCAAAACTTATATAATTAAAAAAATATTTTTATGAATAATCTAAGTTATTATAATATAAAGTACCTTAACTTTTTAGAAAAAATTTACAAGTTTTTCTGTTTATGTCAATTCATTTTTACAATTTTTTACAATTTACAGTCCTATTAGAGCGAGTCTTCCTTCGTTTAGGATCAGTTGACTCAGATGAACAGCTGCAGGCAGCAATATGTAAATTTTTACCTCCTGTTCTTCTGAAACTCTCCAGTACTCAAGAAGGAGTTAGAAAGAAAGTTATGGAACTTTTAATTCATATAAACAGGAGAATTAAAAGTAGACCTCAAGTTCAACTTCCTGTAGAAGCTTTGTTGTTACAATATCAAGATCCATCAGCAAGTTCATTTGTGATAGTAAGTTTTTTTTTTTAATTTACTTCAATTTAATAAATTTTATCAATTAATATTTTTAACTTTAACAATGGCTTTAGAATTTTACCATCATCTATATAAAACTTGGCTTTCCAAGGCTAGAAGTTAGCAAGCAAGCTGAACTAATCCCTAGTGTCTTAAATGCCATTCAAGGAAAGCCTTTATCACATCAAGATAGGTGAGTAAAAACATCTATTTTGAATAATTTAAAAAATCATATTATCATTTTTAACTCTTGATATAATTTTTAGTTTACTGTTAATAGTAATGCCAGCATTAGCTCATGTGATTATACCATTAGATCCTGAAAAAAGAGCTGCTCTCTTTGGACTTCAAGACGAACCACAAGTAGCTAAACAACTTCTTAATTTCATGCTAGATATGTTGTTATTGCCTTACGGGTAGGTAAAAAAATTTAATAAAATTTGTATGTTTTTCAAACTTAATTTATCATATGTTTCATGTATATGTTTTTTGGGCAGAGCAATTAGTCAAAATGAAAATCAACAACCAGGACAACCTATTGATTGGTCTCAATATAAAGTGCCACCTGGAATGAGTGAATATGCATTTAAACGTGTAATTGGTGAAACCCCTCCGACACCAGATCAATTAGAGCAAACAAAATTAGGAATTGTAAAATTTCTTGCTGGAGGATTTTTTCAAGATTCTGACATCCTCATCCATTTAATTGTAGCAGCAGCTGATACAAGATTCAGTGTTGCCAATTTAGCAGATTTAGAATTGAAAAAAATTGTCAAGTATGTAAATTTTGAAAGAAAATTTATATTTTCTCTATTAATTGAAATTTATTATCTTTTAATTTTACGTCAAAACCATTTTATTTTGTTGCACAGTTTATTAGATTGGTCATCAATGCAATTAGCAGCACCTCTTTACACCTTATTTTTGGGTACTGAAGGGTATACAACAATGCAAAGAGATGCAAAACCAGAAACAATAAGAAGCCCAGCTAATATTCGCATAAGACTAAAACTTTTATATTATTTATGTAGAGTAACTAAAGCTGGATTTATCATTCCTCCTTGTATTCAGGTATTTTCTTTTTCCACAAAACTGATCCTCAATAATGGGATATTTCATTACAAAATTAAAACTATAAAATCAATTTTAGGTCATATTTGAATCATTATATGGAATAAATCATTCTAATTCAAAACTTAAATCACTGGCTCTTCAGTTTACTTTAAACTTGGTTCAATCGTATGTAGAACTTTTTATATTTTCATACAAATTAAATAAAACTTTTTATAAATTTTTCAATTATTCTTAGATGTAGTCTTGCACCAATCATTCGAGTAGCAAAAGTAATATTAAATGGAATGACAAAACTCATAAGTGATAACGAGTCTGAAGCTGCTCATAGACTCATGGCTTATACAATAGTTGGACAGCTTGGACAAAGAATTCCAGCCCTGGTCAACAAAGATTTGACTCTATTACAGAATTTTTTTGAAACTCTTTCTAATGTACATAATGGAAGCTTGGATAAATAATTAATATGAATATTTAATAATTTACTTTCTTTGTACTTACAGACTGATGGTGACTTACGTCGAACCATTAGAGATGCATTGATAAGTATGACATCTGCTTTTATTCTTAATAAAGATGATGATACTGGAATGTCTATGATGACGGCTTTATTGGCAAATCACATTGAATCTCAAGAAGTGCATGTTAGGTGTGTAATTACATTTAATTATGCAACGAAAAAAAATTGTAAAATTAATTGCGCAATCAATTATGTCGTAGATTTGTTGCTGTTCACTATTGTGCAAATGTCTTTCCGTCAGATCACGCTCCTTCGAAATATTTATTGTTGCTGGCATCTGGTGATTCCAAATTAGAAGTACAATCCGAAGCGTTAAAATCATTGTATGGGTCATCGTACAAAAATGAACGGTATAAATTTTTTTCCAAAGATGTTCCTTTGCCAGACTTTGCAAAGCTCATTACCGAGATTAATTCTAAAGCACAACTTAGAGTTAATGGTCATAACAAGGTGACAATTGGAAATAAAGTACTTCCTTTCAACGTTGCTGTTTTTTCAGAGGTAAATTTTTCTTAAATACGTTTGGAAAATTTTCATTTATTCATAAAAAAAAAATTCATAGAAAACTTATTATTAATATAGATGATCACGTACCTTCGATTGTGCTTAGCTAAAAGTGCTGATATTAAAATACAAAATGATTCTGTTGATCACCCTAGTGAACATACTCCATTAATAGGTACTTATTTAGAAAGTTTGTTCAAAGAAAATCTTGACAGTTTACATCATTACATGGATCTTATAATATTATTTGGACAAGTAACTGGAGGTAAATATGATCGTTACCAAACGAAGTTTTGTTCAAAATTATATTACAAATTCATATTATTTTGAGTATAGATGAAGTGGCTTTGAGTGCTCTACTTGAAGTAGTTGGTACCATTCCAAACTGTGTTATTGAGCATTACTCAAATGAACGAACTTGGATTTACACTTTATTGTCTTCTACCAAAGAACATGTCAGAGATCTTGCCGCAAAAGTGTATGCAGTTTATATGTCTCATAGTCCCGATAATGTGTTTGAAACTCAAATCAATAAAATGCTCAAAACTACTAAAGATAAATTACTTGAAAATCAACATGGAGCCATTCTTGCTTTGTCTTACTCATTAGAGAGGAAATTAATATTACGCAGAAATGAAGACAAAAATGCATTGATCACATGGAATGTCTATATCGATGTGATAAAATCCGTTTGTACGAAATCATTAGAACTATTTTTTTTCATTTTTTCAAATTATTTGTCAACAAATCCTTATCATTGTTATTATTAGGTGATTTTCTGAACGTCAACAACCCAATGTTACTATCTGCGGCAATCAATGGAATTGGAATTATTGGTAAAACATATTCACTACCTTTACCAGCTGAAGCCGAAAAAGGTCATAGCAAGAAAAGCATAATGGATAAATTATTTTCCATATTTTCTAATGGAAAGTCTAGTGCAAAGGTACGATTTGAGTTGAAATTTAAATTTGTGAAGAATTTGAAATGAAAATCTTTTTTTTTAAGGTGAAAGAAAAAGTCGTTCTAGCATTAGGATACCTATGTGTAGGAGAGGAGTTCCCACATACAAAAACAATCGTCGAGAAATTTATTGATAGTGCAACCGAGGCAAGATATATAGTTTTTAACTTGTTGAATTCATGTATCCATTACAAACTGTGTCTCAATAATGATTTCTATCTGCAGACAAAAGATATTAACATACACTTATCTATTGGTGAAACGTTGGTATGTTGCGTTCAAGGGCCAGCTTCGCCAGAAAATCGAGATGCGTGGAAAACTCTACCTTCAGATCATAAGGTCCCCTACACCGAAGAAAGTGATAATTTGCTCACGTTTGTGGTTGATAAATTATTATCATTGGCTAATAAGACTCATCCCAACTCTAGACAGGTTTGTTACTTTCATGAATCATGTATTGAAGAGAATTTTAATTGAGTACTATAATAAAGTATGTATATTTCGACACTGCAGGCTGTATGTACATGGCTATTAACACTTTTGAAACATAATTCAAAACGTGAATGCATGTTCAACAAATTATCATCTATTCAATATGCATTTATGGACTTCTTGTCTGAAAATAGTGGTAATTACATTTTTTTACGAAAATAAAATAGAGTAAAATACTTAATAGTGATTACACGAAATTCTTGTATTTGCCTAGAAATTGTACAAGATATTGCTGCTAAAGGATTATACTTAGTGTACTCCAGCTGTTCAGAAAATGATAAGGCAAAACTTGTCAATGCTATAACAAATCAACTGCTGCATGGTAGAAGAGAAGTTCAAAAAGTTACGGATGACACTAAATTGTTTGAGGAAGGTGAATTAGGAAAATCTCCAACAGGGTAAAAAAAAATATTCTTGACTTATCTGTTATTTTTGCAAGCAAAATTCAAATAATGAAAATAATTTTAGTGGAAACATGACTACATACAAGGAAATTTGTTCTTTGGCTACTGATTTGGGAAAACCTGAACTGACTTATCGTTTTCTACACTTGGCTAATCATAATGCTCTATGGACTTCTAAAAAAGGTGCAGCTCTTGGTTTTTCACAAATTGCTTCATTAGTTAACGATGATCTTTCTCAACAATTGCCCAAAATTGTCCCAAAATTGTATCGTTATCAGTTTGATCCAAACATTAAAACCCAGCAGAGTTTTGCTAGTATCTGGCGTACTCTAGTACCTTCGACTGCAAAAGCTGTAAGTTGCATAGTGTATTTTTGACAAAATGTATTATTTTTCGATTATTAGAGACTTCATGTTATTTTTTCAACAGCTTGAGCAACATCACAAAGAAATATTAGAAGATATAACGCAAAATTTGACGAATAATCAATTTCGCGTTCGAATAAGTTGTTGTTTGGCATTAGCAGATATATTAAAGTCTTCAGTTGCTACTCTCAACTATGCTGAAAGTGCACCTGAATTATGGAACCAATTGTTCAGAGTTATGGATGATATTCATGAAGGTACCAGGCTCGAAGCAACTAACACTGCTAAAATTTTAAGTCGTGTAAGTGTTTTAAATCAGTACTATCAGACTACTATGTATTATATTTGAAAATTATTTACTTGGGCTTTTAAAGGTTTGTATTCGTCAATGCGACGCTTCTCAGGGTAAGACAGGTGAAGAGGTTCTCCAGGCCATTCTTCCCGTTCTTCTAGAGAACGGAATAACTAGCAACGTAAATACGATTCGCATCATATCTTTGACAACAGTTTCGCAGTTGGTTTCTGCAGCTGGTAACCTTTTGAAACCATCGTTGCCGAGTCTCATACCAGCTCTATTAAGCGCCATTGGCGAGGTTGAAGATGAAAAACTTCTACATTTGCGCAATGTAGCAGCTAACTCATCAGAAATACAAGATCTCATAGATAATGCGACTCTTCAAACAACGAAAACTCACTTTTCTACTGATACCATGACTAAATGTATACAATACATCGATTCATTAATTCTTAAAGATCTTATGCCTAAAGTGATTGAACTTTTCAAAACGAGTTTGAAGCTTGGAACGAAGCTTGCTTGTTCCAATTTTCTTATCAAACTCAGTAGTTTTATGAAAATGGAGCTGCAGCCATACGTTGGTAAGATATTAGCTGTGTTGATCAATGGTTTAACTGATAGAAATGCAGGAGTGAGAAAAAACAATGCCACGACCATTGGTCACATTGTTGGCTGTGCTAAAGATTCTAGTCTTGAGAAGCTATTTAATATGTTGAATACTTGGTATTCAGAAAAAGAAGGTATTATTTTCGAAAAAATGACCACTTGTATAACTAGTTATAGTAATTATTACATGAAAAAATGTTATATTTTAGATGATGCAACTCGCTTGGCGATTGGTCAAACGCTTCATTCAATCAACAATCACAATCAGGAGATTATTAAAAAGTATTCTAACATTATTGTGCCTTTGGCATTTTTCGCAATGCACGCTGAGAAAGTGGTTGGTGAAAATGAAAAGACTATTGAGCTGTGGGAGGAACTGTGGTCAGAAATAACTCCGGGCACGGAATCAGGTATCAGACAAAATCTTGCAGCTATTACCACTACATTAAATCAAGCATTAGAGTCAAATTCGTGGACGACTAAGGCTCAAGCTGCCAATGCCGTTTCAACAGCTGCCACAAAATTAGGAGCAAGTATTGACGAAGAGGCTAGAAATTCATTACTAAAAATTTTAGTTAATGGCTTGCAAGGCAGAATTTGGACTGGTAAAGAGAGGTTGTTAAATGCTCTTTCTACATTGGCATGTAACAGCAAGTAAGAATCGAGAAACAATTAATCTACTTTGATATTTTTATTTATTTCTATATTAATACTAATCATTTTAGAGAAGCTTTGAAGAAAGATGAAACACTCAAACATACAATCATAGAAACTTTGTATAAAGAGAGTAAAAAGGAAAATATTGAGTACCGACGTCATGCTTTTAAGGCCTTAACCGAAGTTTTGCATGAGCTGGATGAAGATAAATTTAAAGAAGTTTACGAAATAGCCCAAGAAGTTTTACCGAAAGTATGTGTTTTTTAATTACCATTAATAACGAAAGATCATTAAAAATATTTTAAATGTAAATTCTCACAGCTAACAAGAAAAGGTGAAGACGATGACGACGATTCTGCTGAAGACAATAAAAGAAAACGCGAAGAAAAAATTAAATTACAGGAAGTGATTTACGAAGGACTTGGTAAAGCATGGCCTACTAATAAAGAAACTCAAGGTAAATACTAATGCTAACAATAATAGTTACGTGCTAATATGAATAAATGTTTCCATGAAAAAATTTTCCGTTTCAACAGACCAATACTGTGTTCGATTTGTTACACATTGTTTTGATTCACTTCCCACCAGTACAAGACCAGTACAAGTTTCGATTTTGACAGCACTAAATCGTTTTGTGGATAAATCAGTTTTGATAAAAACTGACTTCAATATACTCTCAGATAAGGAAAAAGAAGATTTAGATGTTGTTGGAACCACGCTTTTAAAATGTTTAAGATATGCCATAGGTATGTATATTAATATTCTTGATCATGCTACTTCATACTTACTCCTCTTATGTTCATAACATAATTTTATATATTTTAGGTATTGCAAAATACACGAGAATCAGAAAAGAAGCTTTAAATATTGTAATATCACTTTCGAAAAAGTACAATAATACACAAAATAATCGGCAATTGAATTTCATGATGGCTTTAATGAAAGATATGCTAGTTGAATTGTCAAAAGATAATCAACCTGAAATTCGGTCGAGAGTTGTCGATATTAAGGAATTGCTAAAATTATAATTTAATAACCCTTCAATTTACGATCAAATATCCAATGGCAGAGATGATTATTATTTTCTGTAATCATTTCAGTTACTTTACTTTACTGGTGTCATTTTGAATTATTTTACAAATTTTTCATTATTACAAAATTATTTATGTATATTTGCATGCATTACATCGTATTTTCCATCAGTTTTCATATTGTTATATTGAAGTTTAACAAACTCTCGTAAATACATCTATGATAGCCATTACCTTCGAACACAAAAACATGATATTTATAAAATGGCATATTTATGTTGCTTGTTTGGGGATTTCATAATTGAAATGAGTTATTTGTATTTAAATTTAAGGAAATATAAACTTTTCGATTTGAACAAACTCTAGCTTTTTATTTATTCAGAGAAAAATGTATTTTTCAGACGAATATTAAACAGTGAACGTATATGAAATTGTTGGACGTTAAATAAAGTAAATTTTTCTTTATACCATTTAGTGCATTTCACCGATCAGGTAAGTTGCGAAGGCTCGCTGAAGAGGCGAGTGTATTCATTCAACGCACTTACAATGTTTTTTCACTTGATTCTATTGTTATTTTACTCAATTTCGTCCTTCATCAATATGCGTAGCATAAACCACCGACATTTCTATAAACTGTTATTTATTATTATTACGATCCGTGAGGCTGTGTCTGACGTTCTCCGCCCGGCCGAGCTACCAATGATCCAGTCCAGGCCTTCACCAAATCCAGCTTATTCCGGCCGTTAAAAGGGCAAATTTTGGGATAGAATTAAAACCTATCTTTAGATTAGGAGTTATGGAAAATCGATGTATAGGGGAACTCTTTAGACTTTGATAACTAGTTTGAATGATTTTTAGACATAACATTTGCATAGAAAAATTGCACACACCCTTTTTTTCGATAATCGAGCGCATCATACATTTTATAAATAAGAATAAATTGACACTTTAAGTAGTTTGTAATGTTAAAATTCTTATATACTCAGTAACGAAAATAACCGTCGACACCGACATCAGATCAGCTCTTCCTCGCTTGTCAACTAAAGTTTTTAACTGAGGAGTAGGCGTCTGCGAACTTTCACTTTTTACAAATAGGATATGAAAAAATTTAAAAATTTAGGAGATAAGAAATCAAACATGTATATCCTCATGTTAACATTTAAGTAAAAATAGGCGATTGCTTTGAGTAAAAATTATTTATTTGTGAAAAGTTAACATTGTTACTCAAAGAAAGATTTAGTTTGTATTATTGCAAATTTTTTTTAACTAAACTTTTTTGATTATTTCATTTATAATATTATTTATAATTTACCTTATGAAAAATGTCAATAATTTTCTTCAATTTTATAACTCTAAATTATGAAATAAACATTGGGTTTCTTTTTTCATTTTTATTTGAAAGAAGTGCAAATGCTGGGACAGTGATGGTCAATTTTAGAAGACGGTGTATCACATATACAATGGCAATGCCAAAAATTCTATGAAAAAAGATTAACAATGATTAGTAAGTTAAGAAAAATAATTATCATGAATCTATTCTACCGATTCTCTTTTTTAATAACCAAGTTAAAACGTTAATTAAAATTGCAGAATTCATAAATTCAATATAAGTATTTAGTGATAAGCTAGTTCAAAGTAATAAGTTATAAATCCAATTTAATTTTAATTTCAACTGTAATTTTAATTTAACATTCAAATTTTGTGTACTTATTTCTTGTATATACTACATTTAAAGCGATACCAATAAGAACTTTCCCAAACGTAGATATTTAAACGATGACTATGTTGTATTCTCGTATGTTCGTCACTTGCTTTCAAACCGGTTTCATATAGTAAATTTTCACAATAAATTTATATTATTTTTATTAAACATCAACAGAAATCGAGTGGTTTGTCGAATTCGTCGACAAAACCCTTGTGTAAAACCGTGGAAGTGTAGTGTAATTTGAATGTTCATTTGATAATTCATAACATAGCTGACGGATGTGCTATAAGACATTGCATAAAAAAATAACTATCGATGGAATAACTTGAAATTTCCACTACACATACAGTGGAAATCAAATAATTCGAAGTCATGTAATTCGAATTATCGCATTTCATAATTTGAAACTATCGTCTGGTCCGATTATTTCGAATTATGTGATTTATCAACTTGAAATTTTTTTTATATCAGCAAATTTTATTATTCACGGTTTGTCTATAAGATTTAAGAAGTAACTGTGTTCGAGTAGGTTGATCTAGTAAACAGAAATCAGCTTTTCTAAAATAATGCAAAAACTTTATATTCTCATTTGAAAAAATGTTAAAAGTCTAATAAAAAATATTAATGCTTCTAAAATGCTTTTTTTTTCATTTGAATATTGCATTAGTGTTACAAAATTATATAGCTGACACATTCGAAATGCCTCAGAATTCGAAGTTAACAGCGGTCACCAGAAGTTTGAATTTTGTTAATGCGTATATTATTACTGCTATTTTCTGTGAGTAAAAAAAATTTTATAATCCTCATCAATATTGTTTTTGATAAAATCAATCAAACTTTACTTTACTACAACGCGCAAAGCACAGGCTGATGTAATAAAATGGCTGGTTTTGTAATCGCAGTAATAATTTGGCATTACAGATTATAATAAAAAATGAATAAAATATGTATCAAGCTGAACGGTTAATTTTGAGCAATTTTCTGTACTCATAATGAAATGGTAGACTAGACTACATGCCTAGGGTGAAAAAAACTGGAGGCTTCAGAAAACGTGCCATGATTGACATCCACGTGATGACTTCTGATTAACATTTTATCGCAATAAAAGGTGTTTAGTCACTAAAAATTACGATTAGGAATTATTATTGACATGTAAAAATGCAGGGGAAATGAGACTTCATGGTTTGATCCCATTAAGCGGATGGCTCTATAAACGAGGTTGCATAAAATAAAATCTACTTTACATTATTAAAATAAAAAATTCAATTGAAACAAAAATTATGGTAACTCAGCAAATAGATATTTGTTATTGTTCAAAGACAGTTCCGACTTACTATATTTGGAAGAATCAGTAAGCAAGTGAGGATATCACAATAATAATTATAATAAATGGTGGGATAAGGCTTCATTTAACTTGAATATTGGCGGCTCTTTCAATTGTTAATAAACATACAAACAATAGGGTTGATCAACACAGTTCTTTTTGCACAAAATTATATTGTCAGGACTATTTTTCTAAAAATCGTCTCGTCTCGTGCTTCATCTTAAAAACGTTATAAAGAGGCTGTGGCAACATGTTTCTTGTGTAAAACAAGTTGTCCGGTGAGACTTTCAATAATAAAAGTATTTTCTTTTCTCAATAGGCTAACGTAAATTTTTTTTTCCAATGTCGATTAGTTTCTATTCGTAGAGAATCCTTTTTGAGTAAATACACATCAAAAACTTAAAAGCTTTTTCATATTTTTATCGTGAAAGGAAAGTCCTTAACCGTAATATTTTTATTTCACATTATAATATGCATAATTACTCAAATATAAAATAGACAAGTTGAGTTGGTATTTAATGTAAATGCTTTTTCAGGGCACTGACAAAATCATAAGAGAAAGTATAATTTTTGGAAGTAGGAACAAATGTGTTCGTGCATTCATATAGAGTCCTGGAAAAATGCAGAGAGAAAAGTCGAGAGAGAGAGAGAGAGAGAGGGAGGAAAAGAGAGAGAAAGTAACGAAATAATAAGTACACGGGATGAATTGAAATTGAAGAGTTGGTGGCAGCAGCAATGGGTGGTGGGTAGCGGCAATGGGTGGGGCATCATAAGGAGAGAAGGAAAGAGAGAGAGAGAATAGGAGAGTTGGAATGAACTCGCTTGAGAGAAAGAACGAGCTGCTGCCGTTGCTTTATCGAGTTGGTTATAAACGGGGCAGGGCCCGGGACGTTTATACAGCTTTCAAGCGCAGAAGCTTAATCTAATTTCAAATATAAATCTGTCACGCTCCATTCTCTTTCTCTCTTTTTGTGCGATCCTTACCCGCCCTTTGAACTATATAGGTATATAGCTACGTTCTACATATATATATCCATACCCCCTTCGTTGAGGACTTTTATCGCGTATGATATACAACTATAGAGAATGAACTGAATGTATATATGGCGCATAATCTCGCGAGAGCTGGCTCTACTTCTCTTCTGCGCAATACGCTCTATATTTACCGAGCAGCCTCTTTTAACCAAGTATCACACCACGAGGGAGTTTCTATTGCTATAATATAAAACTAAAGCGTTCTGCAGCGTGTTGCGAGAAAAATAATTCAAATGATTGTTCTCTTGGAATATTTACTTGTTAATTCTTTGACCTATATCAATAAGTTTATATCTGTGGTGGAAAGGCATAACGACTTAAGTCCATTTTTTTGGAAATCGATATTATGATGAAAAACACCTATATTTAGTGTCTACTTTAAGGTACAAAGGTCAGAATAGACGAATTTAGCTTCTATCGTTAGTTTCAGCATTGTGCATAACGACTTAAGTCCATTTCGTGAAAACTGGGGAAAGGCAAAACGACTTAAGTCCACCTTTGTGAGCTCCAAAATCTTATAGAGAGTCTACTTTGATTTGAAAATGAAAGAAAATGATATTCAAACATATAAATAGCTCTCACATTCTTCGAATGTTGTGAATTTCACTATACAATTGGTACATTTAATACGCGAGGGGTCATTTTCGCGATTTTCAGTTTGGCCTTTTTTCGTTGCAAGACTTGAGATCTGACACTAGTATAACGTTAAATTAGCTATTTTATCAATGTGAATTCGTTAAATGAGGTTATGATCACAAACTGCGCGAAATTATCGATACTGAAAAAAGTGTGACTGCCAAAAGTGGACTTAAGTGCAAAGCGTGGAAAGGCAAAACGACTTAAGTCCATATTTTTTGCTCCGTATCATCGCTATGATGCGCCTTTCAATTTCATAAGTACATAGGTCAAAAGCTACCTCATAGTAGCTTAAAACATTATTGGTTCAGACCTCAACTCGTCCGCGTCTAGTTAGGCTGGCACAATCAACTTAAAACGCGTTTTTCTCGAAAACACGAAAAATGGACTTAAGTCGTTATGCCTTTCCACCACAGATATACTTTATCTTACTTTCATGATTCTAAACGATGTATTTCTTATTGTACAAATGAGAACTTTGGAAAAAATATTTATTTTAAATCTGTCCATAATTTTTAAATACATTCATACATACAATTTTATATTAGACTTATAGTACGCAGTATTCTGATTTACAACTGCGTTATAAAGTATTAAGCTATTAATAATTTTAACTACGTTTACAATTTTTCGTATATTTTTGCTTTTGAACCTTTGTAA